GGGTCTCATGTACAGTTGTTTCACACTGACGTTACCTTTTGGCTCAAGTGCGCGGTTGCTAAAATAGCGTTTCACAAAACCCTGTTCTAATTGTCATCGCCCCTACTTTTCAGCCTTCAAGGTACAACAACGGGCATGCACGCGCCGGTCTCCGGTTGATGAGCCGGGCACTTCGTGTGGGTGTTGCAGACTTCCTCTTAGACCCTCAACCTGTGCTTGCTACTTGGGTAGTTGTCAAAATTAAGGTCCCTTTTTGGGTACCCTATATAATAGGTGCCGTATTATGATAGGGACCCAAAACGGGACCCTCATTTTGACAAACACCCACTTTTGCCTTCAACATCTAAATACCAACTAAGTATTGGAATTTAGGGTGCACCTGGCTTTTCTCTGTAAAACTCCTGCCTACAATTACCTAGAGGCCCGAGTGTAGTTCCTTTTTGGGAGTACCTCATAAGATTCTAAATATGAGACCCCAAAACGGAACTACTGTGGGGCCTATGGGTATACCTTCTTAAGGGTACAGAAAGGCTGGGGGTTCTTCTGGCGGCGGAAGGTTTCCCCGGTATCTCAGCCTGGGAGCCTCCTAACACCCCACGAATGCTCAGATGGCTTTTAGGGTTTAGGGATTTAGTTTAGGGTTTAGGGTTTTAGTTTAGGGTTTAGGGATTTAGTTTAGGGTTTAGGGATGTAGTTTAGGGTTTAGGAGGCTGATGAATGCAATGTTCCTCCACCTGGAGATGTTATCCTAAACCCTCTAGACTTTGTGTACGGTTGCGAGTAAATCCTTTCCGCTCGTGCGCTTGTTGAGCTTGAGCTTTCTGCGAGTGCCGCGGGCACCGATCGGCTTGACCTGTCTGGTTCTGTAAAACTTCAGGTTTCGTAGGTATTCCTCAAGCTGTCTTTCGACTTCTTCAGCCCAGGCGACGACCAGCGACCCTTCTTCCGCCTGGCAGTGCAGCAGGCGGAGGCAGCGTACAACATCAGGCACGGCGGGAAGAGAGGTGTACTTTAGGGGTCTTATAATTGCCAATACTATGGTGGGGTTCCAAACACTGATTACAGTATAATGTGGCAAGAGCAGAGATGTACGACGACGTGCAGGGTTTTACAGTGTTTGGGGTCTCGGGCTCTTGGTTATTACAGGGGGTACTGCAAAGGCTACATACTACAAGTGCTTCATAAGGGTTCTGTAGGAGCTTAGATTTAGGGTTTACGGACATTTGCCGATCATGAAACTACTGCTCTGCTGCACAAAAACTTTGCCTCCAAAACACGTACAGTCAAAACACGGCAGACAAGATTGGAGTCCTCAGCATAAAAAAAAAGGTACGAAAACGCTCGCACTTAGGCATGTCCAAGCGCTCTGAAACCGAAGAATCGGAAGTGACTGCACCCTCTCCCCTAAACCTTATGCCCTAAACCCTCCTCCTCTCCCCTAAACTTTAAACCCTTGAACCCCAATCCCTACACACTCTCCCCGAAACTCTAAATCCTGCCCGAAACCCGAGGGCAAGCAACGCATCCTACGCTCCCAGACCCAGCTCTCAAGAGAACTACGAGCATTGTTAAGGCATTGAACGACGAAAGACTGCTTCTTTGTAATTTCCCTGCACAGTCTTTCTTCGGATTTATGATTAGAACCTGCAATACAGTAGGTTATGGTAGTTTACAAGGCAAACATTAGGGTAAGGTTTAGGGCTTATGGGGTAACCCAAAAGAATCTACAAGGAAGGCCTGTAATTGCCTTGGACTACGAAAACCTACATTCTGGTGCGGTCCCTATAGATCCAGTGGCAATAGTTTTGAAAACAGGTTGTGGTAGGCCTCGAGTTCGTGACACCTCGAGTTCGTGACACGCGCCCCTCATGGTCCGCATCTACTTACGCTGTAACATACCCCAAGAGCCCTATTCGAAGTCTGAAGGCCTTTTTTGACCCAACGGCCTAAACCGCACGTTACAAGGGAGCCTAAACCCTGAACCCTAAACCGCACATTACACGGGATTGAGATCTGTAGTTAGTTTTGGCCCATGCGCCCAATGTCAGGGCCGAGCATCCGATGTTCTTCCACTGGGTGCAGGATCCGGCATCTTCCTAAGCACTGAAGGGTATTTAGGGGTTAGGAATTCAGGGTTTGGGTATGATAGGATTACGATAGGGTTTTCAGGGTTTACAGAGGTTAGGGTTTAGGTGTTTAAGGGTTTTGCGGTGGGGTCGAGGGCTCTTGTCAGTTCTGTCGAGGGCACAGGTGCCGATGTTTCGTCTTTGGAGCATGGGGAGCTGTTGCTGCCATCGCGAGCCCCGCGGGCCTGCACAGAACAAGTCTTAAAGCCCTAAAAGCGTAAAGCCCCTACTGGCCCAAACCATTTCAAAACGCCTAAGAACTTGTCCTTCACACCACCGCACCCCCCTCCAAAACAAAGGATACACCCCAACAAATGGGAGCCTCCGAAAATAGGGGACCCTAATATAGGACCCTAAACAGTAGGATCCTTATTACAAGACCCGCCAAAATAAGGTACCCCTACCCAGAGCCTCCAAAACCCCTTAATTAAGGAATATACCATAAATAATTATAATAGGATCCCTAATATAGTTTAGGGTACATTCCTTAATTAAGGGGTTTTGGAGGCTCTGGGTAATTTGGGGAAACTCAAAAATCCGGCGCTCGCCTGAAACACCGCAGGCCTAGGCATTCTCCAAAACGAAGCTCTACTATACAAGCCCCTACCATCCCAGACACTTGCCCAAAGAAAGGGGCCTATGTACCGATATAGCTGAATGTAAGGTCTCCGTATTAAGAATTACGATCATGACTTAAGGAAGTATCCCCGGGTCGGGTTCTTGTCAAGGACTTTTAGGGATTAGGGTCTACGGGAATTTAATGGTCTAAGGTCTCGGGCTTGGGGACCATAATTATTATAGTCATCAAGAGGAAATGGCTGGTTCGTGTTTAGGAGCGCCTATAGCAACGTAATGCAGATTTTTTCGAGCTTAGGGTTTAGGGTAGTAGGGATCCATAGTGTCCCATCGTAGATACTGTGGTGTCTTTACCGTGGTAGCTTATCATTCTTTACTCCTGGCCCCTGACACCTGAAAGCAAACAGTTGCCAAAAGCCTCAAAGAAGTTGGGATACCCAGAGCCTCCAAAACCCCTTAATTAAGGAATCTACCTTAAATCATATAAGGGATCCTATTATAATTTAAGGTATATTCCTTAATTAAGGGGTTTTGGAGGCTCTGGGTACTAACTCAAGAATAGTCAAAATCATCTTGACGCACCATCGAGGTGGCACTGATGGCCTCCTGGACGGAAGCAGCGACAAGGCTTGCGTCGTGTCATGCGCCAAAAGACAGAGGGTGCACTATATTGGGACTTGACGATCATGAGCAGAACCACTCCGAAGCGTTTCTTACTGCTGCCTTTGACTTTCGCGAACCCGGACGTGTGGGATCGCCTTGAGTAGGCGATAGCATACCCCCCCAGACAAAGTTCGAAGCTTTACGCACTCAAGTCCGTAAAGGCATCTACCCAGAAGCCCTAAAAAAACCCAAGTAAGCTCCTATGATTTAGGAACTCAGCTTGTTTATAGTCCATGGTTGAGAGATTTGGTAGGGCTTTAAAGCGGATTTCGAGGGTGCTATGGAGAAGGCGGAAGGAACGTTAAGGGTTTAGGGTTCTAAAGGATAGGGGCTTAGGGTGTCGCTCTCTCAAAGCCGGTTGGATCCACGCCCCTTGCAGGTTCATGCTGATGAGCAGCTTCTGTTTCTTCGTCTTGAACTTCTTCTGCGTGTCCTGTGCCGTGGTGGTGTTCTCGAAACTGGGTAGGGAGCCTCAGATAGTCAGCCCAAAGCGTCCAAAGTACCTATATAATATAGTAGAATCGTTTGGGGAACTATCCCACGTAACAGTATATACCTAGGACCCTTTGGGCAGGGAGTTGGGGATATTGGACTACAGAGATCGTGAATATAGTATCTAGACTACTGCTTACTAGACTGTACTTGCCCTTTCAAACCCTGAACGGTTTAGCGTTTAGGGGTGACTAAAGCCCAAACCTTTAAGGCATGCTGGCCCGGGAGTGCGTTAGCTGTAGCCTTGGTAGGTTGTTGAAGATGGAAGATGAGTCAAGGCTTTAACGGTTTACGGTTCAGGGTATTGGGCTTAGGGTCTTTACAGTTTGGGGTTCAGGGTTTAGGTTTCAGGGGTTAGGGGCCAGGGTGTTTACGGTTTGGGGTTCATGGTCTGCTTGAAGCAGGAGATTCCCTTGAGGTTCTTCGCAGCTGACATGTGTTGACTCTGAGCATATTGAACTGATTGCATCGGGTCGAAGCCGCAGGTGGCTACTGAGTGAGCTCCAATCGCCACGAGGGAGAGGGCAAACGTCCTCTGCTCGCCGTGAATGCAGCGCAGAACACGAGACAAAAACGGGAGCAGTCAGCCCTTCGTGGTTTTGTGCTATGCAGTTTGCTGGATCCGAGGAAAGACACCGTTGCCACGCCGGCAGCTTTTTCCCAGCCGAGCTAGCACCACGTCCATTCGCATAAGTTTTTGCGGGCACATCCCAAGACGATCCGCAAGCAGACGTGCAAAGACAGCAAGGCTGGATTGTTTCCCAAAAAACACTACAAAATGCCCATGCGCTATCAACAGACACAACAGCAGCCTGCAGAAAGCCATGCACCGCGACACGAACCCAGGAGCCTAAAGCTTGAACATCTCGCTTGTATAAGAAACTACACCCTGAGCCCATATAAACCCCTAAACCTTAAACCCTTAAGCCGTGAGCCCCATAAACCCCAAAACCTTTCGCCCAAGCATGCCGCAAGACCACTAATCCTGATGCTGGTAGTCCCGCAAAGACCCCTTTCAAAGCCAACAACTAAAGCGCGAGCCAGGGTTTAGGGCTTAGCTTGAGCGAACCTGAAACTCCTTCGGTGATTTGGGCTTAAGGTGCGCCCTAAACGATAGAAGCCGAAACACTTGCTTCTCCAACGATGCCTCGACTCCGCAACGTCGGCTCGGTGCAGGCGGGGACCTGTTCTAGTCTACTGTAGGGTTAAGGGTTGATGGCGGTTCAAGGGTTTTGGGTTGAGGGTTCAGGGGTGTTTGATTTCTGTTATACTATTCCTTCAGGCGCCTTACTCTACCCAGAGGCCCCAAAGAAGTCCCTTGCTGGGATTACCTTATAGGATTCTATAGATGAACCCGAAAAAGGAACTACTTTGGCGCCTTACTCTAAATGTAGCACAGCATTCCCCAAAACCCATGCTCTGATCTTTAAGGCCACTCTTTGCCTGTCACGCTTGTGGCATCAGTTGAGAAACTGTCGGGTGATGATCCGGATGGGGTCTGATGTTCAAGCAGGGTTTTCCTTCTTGTCATATGCCTCAAGCGAACTTGGCAAGTAGTGCATTACTTCTTGGGGCTCCAATCAAACGTTCCAGCTGCATATCTTCCCACACAGGCTTTCAGAAACTCCTAAACCCGTAACCCTGAACCTTAAACCCTTCCAACACAGGCTTCCCTAAACCCGTAACCGTGAACCTTAAACCCTATACATCCTAAGCATTAAGCTATAAATCCTATGTGCCCGGATATCAACTAACCCAATGGGCGGCACAAAGCCTATAAGCCCAGGAGCCCCAAACCCACAAGCCTCTACTTCGACGATCACGTAAACTAATAGGAGCGCAAGTTTACTTCAAACTTATCAGTAATAATTATAATTGTATCTAGAGTTACTGTATTCACAACCCCAGTTAACCAGTCCCATGCTTCGCCCAGTAAGCCCTCAAACTCGGGCCTGCATGATCCTGAGGCGCTTTGCGACCGCGGCCTCTTCCGCGCCACATCGGCGCTGCAGATTCTGGGTGGTCTCGGTGAGGTCTTTGCAGAGGCCTACCCAACCCTAGACCCTTTCAGCCCTATTTCAGAGTTTTTTTAAACACTAAACCCTATAAGCCCTATAAAGCCTACACCCTAGCCCGCAAAGCTTGCCGTACGAGTTCGGGATGCTTGTCAGGAGCTGAGGGCTGGGAAAGGGCGGCTTTGATGCACAAACTCTATTTCCCAAATTCCCTACACCCGAAACCCTGACCCTGGAAACCAAAGTCTCAAACCCACAACACCTTGAAACCCCCAAAAAAACTAGCACCCCGGAACGCCCTGAAGCCCCAAAGCACGAAGTGCTAGGATTTAGATCTCAAGCCCCAAAGCCCTAAACTTCAAACCCTAATTCCCCAATCTCAAAAACCGCAGGCCCCTAAAACCCTAAAGCCCGAATTGCCTTATCGTAACCCTTATAGATCCCCATAAAGGAACACTTATCTGGGTTGTCCTTTGGGATCAGAGAACCATAATGGTAAATAATGCTCAGGGGGCTTAAAGGACAACTCAGTTATAGTAACCCTTATAGGACCTCTTAAGAAGTGCCAGACTGAGACTGGCCCAGGGCCTCACCGGCATCATTGGCGCTGCCGAGGCAACGAGCGAGGTGGCATTGCAAACCCACGCGTTTAAGGTCCCTTTAAAGGCTGCTTGAAGGGTTTCTTAAGGTGTTCCTTTAAGGCTCCCTTTAAAATGGTTGCTTTAAGGGCCCCTTTAGGGTTTGGGGTTCAGGGTTTTTTGAAGAAGTGTTTTTCAGTGGTTTATAGGGTGGTGGGTGAGAGAGCATCCTTCGAGGATTCTGTTGCAAGGGGCTCAGAGTTCTTAGAAGGGTATTCAGAAGGGCCAGAATGTAGGTGTAGGGCCAGTGTAGGGCTTTATATCGGGTTTCCAGGGCTTTAGGACGTTAGGACCTTTTGGGCTTCAGGCTTTCGGGTTCCGGGGGGTGGTGCCTTTGTCATTCGTACCGCGATGTGAGACAAAACAGAATAGAACACGGAGAAGATACTGCAGTGTGACGCTCTCTATCCACACATGTCCTATTGCAACAGCACAGAACTACATTGCTGTTGTTGGACGACTGTGTAGCGAGATGGAATGCCTTATGTGCCCAAGGATCCAAAGTACTTATATACTTAGGACCCTTTGGGCCCTAAGCCCTAAACCCTAAGCCCTAAGCTCCAAACCCTATAAAGTCTATAAGCCCTAGGCCCATAATAGTACCCAAGACGCTTTGGGTAATTTGGCAAGGTCCAGCAACCAGTCTAGTGGATTGAGAGAGAGAAGTGGTGCTTCTCCAAGATCTCAACCCTGAACCCCTAATACCCAAGCTCAAGGGTGTAGGGTCCAGGGTCTAGGGTTTAGGGGTTTTGGGTTTAGGGAGGGTTTAGGGTCTCGGGTGTAGGGTTTAGGGTTGAGGCTTTAGGGTTTAGGGGTTTTGGGTTTTAGGGTTTAGGAAACCCTGCACCCTAAACCCAGCAGATCGGCTCCGCACGAACATCGGCACAATAGAATTCTGACAGCAGCTCTGCTGAGGATGTCTTGCCTGGAAACCACTGCCCACAGACGACGCGAAACGTCGATCCTACACCGCCATACCACCCAAAGGGTCCAAAGTACCTTCATAGTAGAATGCAGGGTCTCTGTAGCAGGAAACCTCATTCTGGTTTGGGAACGTATGCCCCACAACAGTACCTAGGACCCTTTGGAACCTTAAACCAACAGGCTTCTTGGCTTTGGCTCAGGGACCCTACCCTGTACAGTAGAACCAAAAGACGGTTTAGGGTTTAGGGTTTAGGGGTTTAGGGTTTAGGGTTTAGGGTTAGCCTCAATCCTTAAGTTGTAGCGGGAATCCCAGCACTATTTAAACTATTTGGCCTTAGTCCGGTTTCCAACTTCATGGGGTCTACTGTATGTTTAAGCTGCTACATTCAAGCCGCAACACTTTGAGTTGAAAGCATGCCGGGTTAGGGTTTTTAGGGTTTGGGTTATTGTTTACCCAAAGGGTCCAAGTACCATTATAGTAGGTATTTTGGCCCCAAGAGTATATACTATGCCATTACTTGGACCCTTTGGGTCACGCAAAGGTGGATGCAACGGCAGGAGATGGCACCTTCCGCGGGACCGAGCCCGTGAACCGGGTGGAGGTGCTCAGAAGTAATATAGGGGCTGAGGCCTAAATAATTACCAATACATACTATGTTGGGGGGTTCCTTATGATACATATACATATATATATAGACAGAGAGAGGGAGAGAGAGAGAGAGAGAGAGAGAGAGAGAGAGAGAGAGAGAGAGGGAGAGAGAGAGAGAGAGAGAGAGTGACCGTGCATGTGTCGAACTGAGAATGAATAAAACACAGTCAGCGTCATCGTACTCTTTAATGGCTTTAGCCGAGACTGTGTTTATCATTCGTTCGTCACCCCTCACGCCCGCCAACACGACGGGGGGGCCAGTGGCCCGAGGGCGTTGACCCGCCCTCATGCCCAGGAGAGAGAGAGAGAGAGAGAGAGAGAGAGAGAGAGAGAGAGAGAGAGAGAGAGAGTATAATGGACCCCAAAACCTCCGCCTCAGACGTACGATTGTATACTAAGGCCTCTACATTAGTTCAAATCGGTCTTGGAGTTCATCAGTGCAGGGTCTTGGGGTTTGGGGCTGTGGGGTTTTAGGGCTTTGGGGGTTTGGTTTGGGGGTCGTGTTGTGACATTGTGGGTTTAGAGTTTGGGGAGTTTTGGGATTTTTTTTAGGGGGGTTCAGGGTTTGGGAACCGCAACCCTGTTATTCTGTGCACGTGATTCCTGAGGTGTTTATCAGCCACACCTGGAGCTCCGGGCGTTGGCCGAAGCCGCTTGGGCAGAAGTGAGATGATAATGCCGACCTTTGTGTGCAACCTGAGGAGTTTAGGGTTTACCTATGTACAGTCTCCATTGTAGCTACCTTTTTGGTTTAACCAACTAGGGTAGGTTTAGGGTCAAGGGGTTAGAGGTTTAGGGGATGTTTAGGGGTTTAGGGTTTAGGGCTTTTGATTCCTATCTTTGGATATAGTCTGAACTGTAGTTCCTGAATTTTGTTGGTTTAGCAAACTTAATTTACGTGTAGGATTCTAGCCCGAAACAGGAACCGCAACGGAGACTATAGGTAGGGTTTTTCATCGGGACTTGAGGACCGGTCGTGCTGTAGGTGCCTGAACAACTAGACAAGGGTCTGGGGGTATTATACTACAACAAACATTCGGAACCCCCTTCCCCCAATAAACCCAATACCAATTGTTAAGGTCCCTACATTACCTGCAACGATGTGCGGAAGGAAAAGTATCCCTGTAGTCCCTTGGCAACCAAGGCATATTATGGGCTAGCACCGTATCCCAAATTTTACCCCCTTGTACGAAACCGACTTTTCCCATCCCACCCAACAAAACGCAAAAAAGCCTACAGAAACCCCATCCTGCAGATTCAAGCCCCTTTTGAGTACGAGGGTCATCCCGTTAACCTTTGCCCGTCTCCCCATGGTTTTCAAGGGTTGCAAAGCCACAGCACCTTGACCCCAAACCGGTAAGCCCGATACCGCCAAGCTCTTAGGCCCTAAACCCTCGTAATGGCCCTCACTCCTGAACCGTCTTCAGCAAGTCGACAACATTGAGCACGCCGTACCCAGGCAAATCCTAAGTCGTTGAAAGGTACCTGAGCATCTGCGAAACCCTGAACCCTTCAAGGTACCTGAGCATGTGCTACTTTCTCAACTTGGGCATAGCGGTGAAGTCGGCGCTCGTCTGCTGGGTGCTCGCCGTTGCCAGCCTTTGCGTCGTGCAGGCCCTGCGAGCATGGCTGAACCATAAACCCCTAAACCCCTCAACCCCTAAACCCCCCCTCAACCCCTAAAGCCCTAAACCCCCCTAAACCCTAAGCCCTAAACCCCTAAACCCCTCAACCCCTAAAGCCCTAAACCCCCCTAAGCCCTAAACCCCTAAACCCCTCAACCCCTCAACCCCTAAACCCCGAACCCCTAACCCCAAAGGTTGACTGGATGAGGTTCTTCGGTCAAGTACCGGTCGAGGATTCAGGGTTTATAGGGAACTCCAGAAAGTTGGAATATGGTTTCAGGGTAGGATACCCTATAATTTACCATAACGGGTTTAGGATAATCATATTCCAACTTTCTGGCTTTTACCTTATAGGGCTTACGGCTCAAGACTAAGGACGGGAGCTTAGGGTTCAGGGCTATGGAGCTCAGGCTTTAAGACTGGGTTTATGGTTCAGGGTTTAAGCTGTTTGCCCTTAAAAGCCCTAAACCAGGGTGTTTCTCAAGTTGTGTTAAACTGTTCGAACTGTACAGTGCTGATCGCAAGTTAAAAATGCCAGCCCAGACTGAGACAGCTGCGGCAGTCTTCCATGCAACTGGTGCATGAAAGAGTGCTCTTTGCATCCGCAGTCAGTGACGCGTCCGGGCATCTAAACCCCAAACCCTGAAACCAAAACGACCGCCTGGACCTTAAAACCCGAAGCCTCGCACCCTCACACCGCAAATCCCAAGCCCCAAACCCTGGAAGTCTACACAAACTCTGAGCTCTAATGTAATATAGCAATACTTTAGGTGTATTACACTACCCAGAGGGTCCAAGTACTCCCTATTATAGGACTTTGGGGCCTTTTTAGATACCAAAAACCATAAATAGGAACTACTTGGACCCTTAGGGCTAACTAGTGCTACTACAATAGACCTCTGATAACCCCCGACCCCTGTCTTCAGTGGCCTAAGATTAGGATCCATGTATACGGCCTAATTGCAAGGAGCGCCCAAACCCTTCATACGAGCATGATTTTGGCTAGGTACCATACTTTGATACTTAAGGAACCATGATGACATGAGACGGGTTTATGAATTAGGGGTTCGCAGCAGTTAGGGGTTGACAGTAATGTTCGTGCCAAAGTGGAATGCGAAAGACGAATCCCTGATCCTTCCAGTGCGGAGGCGTACATAAGGGGCATCTGCGACCGCTACTATCTTTTTCCTCTGCTTATCGAGCTTCCGGTACTGGCATTCTTTGTTTTCTTCTTCTTCGGCCAGCATCTGACTGGCGGCCACTCGGTGCATTTCATAAGCAGCATGTTCCCTATTGTGGCGCAGGTCTTTCCGGACTTGAATAAATTGCAATCACACCGACACCAAGATGAAATCCAGAGTAGAATCCCGAAACCCTAAACCCTTAAACCTTGAACCCTAAACCTTAAACCCTAACGCCCTGCGAAGAGACAAGAAATTCCGGAGCGCAACGAACCTACTGACGACTATCAGACCCCATAACTGGCCCATAAACCCTTAGAGGGAGCCCTACTTAGTAAGTCGGTAGTCAGTAGACTTATAAGTACCCTAAAAGGGACCCTAATTGGGGTTATGGTAGTCCCTAAAATAACCAGTTACTAAGTCCCCCAACCCTCCAAGTACTATGGAACCCTACAGTACCCTTAAACGGAACCACAAGCCTAGGCTGCTTCGCACCATCCTTCTGGCTCGACAAGCTATGCATCCACCAGACAAAGCATGATCTCAAGGCACGCTCGGTGCGACACTGGAGAGCCAAAACCCTGAACCCTAAATCCTAAACCTAAGCCCTCTAAGGGGCTCCTTTAAGCGTCTCCTCTAGCGGATTATTTACAGGAACCCTTAAACCCTTAACGGATTCTCTTTCTTCAGGGTTGTGTGTGTGGATTTCATGGGGGTTTCGGGCTGCTCAAGGTTTCGTGCATGGGTCCTACGCCCCGAGGGTCCATGTACCTCTTTGTTACGCATATGAGTGGTTGTCAAAATTATGGTCCCTTTTTGGGGGTGCCCTAAAGATAAGGTGCCGTACTATACTAGGGACCCAAAAAGGGACCATAGTTTTGACAGCCACCCATATAGATACCTACTATTTGCTTAAGAACCCCAAAAACTAAAAAATATATTCCTTATGGGGGTAATATAGGGATTATTATTTTTATTTTTTGTGTGTTTCTTAAGCAAATAGTAGATACCGAGTCCTTTATGAGCACATCGACCCTGATGGGTAGGATTTGGTGTTTTCAGGCCTTGATTTGCAGTTTGAAGCCCTACGCCCTGAACCCTAAAGCCTGCGATGTGTTTGCGCATGGCAGCCTCCTAAGTGTCGGCTTTGGGTTCAGGGTTTTAGGGCTGTTGAAGTTTAGGGCTTATAGGTCTAGGGATGTTTGGGGTATGGGGGTTGCGGGGTTTGAAGGGTTTTGGAAGAGTTAGGGCTATAGGGCTGCAGGAGTCTAGGCTCTAGTGACTTCTAGTGCTTTAGTTGTCTTAAGCCTTAAACCCCAAACCATTAGACTGCCTAAACCCTAAACCCTTAGCCGAACTTAGGCTGTTTCTTCAGGAATGCTTGACAACTTGTTGATTGCATGCCATGGTTGCAGCATCGGGCTGGCACGAACATGAGAGCAGCCACGGTGCGTGACAGTGTATGAAGCTGGGTTGTTGTAGTTGTTGCTAGGGAACTTCATACAGGTTACCATGGGATCTAGATTAAATTATGGAGGACTTGCCTATTATTGGACATCGCATGAGCTCCCTTAACAGCACTGTGCAGCTGATGCAGAGGACGATTTAGGCTCATGACATCTCTGCATAGACAGCTTCGTGGGCTTGTAGGGTTTCGGGTTCTACGAATAGGAGGATCCATGCTGTGAGAGTTCGAGAGAAGCTTTAAAGATACGGGACGTCTAAGGATTCTAACTCTAACAGGGCTTCTATAAAGGGGTATCAGGGTTTAGGGTCCGCACCACGATATCGCCGGAACATCATCCTCAGAGCTCAACCGGTCTTCACAAAGACCTTCGTTCGAGCATGCCTATACACGCAATCACCCCAATGTCCAAAGACCAAAATTTTAGATTTAATGCTTACAGTAAAGCCTCAAACCCTAAACCCTAGTTGAGACGCTGAACCTGAACCCGTCGCCCTGAGCAACTCGCTGATGCTTTCCCATTGTTTGCATCGCAGGCGCAGCAAGTGGCCGCGCTGCCGGTTTTCGTTGCCAGGTCTACAAGGAGAATGTGATCAGCCCCAAACCCTGAATCTTGGGCTCAGGGTCTATAGTCCCCAAACCCTAAGCCTCTAAACCCTAAACCCTAAACGGATTTTGTGAAGGCTTTGCGGTTCTAGAATTGCTGTATAAGGGATCCTAAGGGGGGGGGGCTTCAGGTGGGATCTCTAAGGATTCTACGGTTTTGTAAGGGTTCCTTTAAAGGGATCCATAAGGCATGCCATAAGGGTTCTATAAGGCATCTACAGGGGTTTAGGAGTTTCAGCGCAGGTGCCAATTGTTAAAATCAACGGCCCCCAGTTCACTGGTTTTGGGTGTTGGGTTTCGCACCGAAACACTGTTGACATCGTGCAGGCCTGCTTGTTAATCCTTGATGGCAACTCTTCAAACAAAAACCCTTGAGGCATCCCCATTTTCACTCAGTTGAACCCCAAACCCCATATCCTAAATCCTGAACCCTAATTGAACCCTAAACTTTTCCGGCCCGTAGAAGCAGCGTCAGGATGCTCGTTCTCTGGGACGACACGTATTTCGAAAGGCTGGCGGGGGCTTGGGTGGCTCTGGGGGGTTTTCACGTTTGAGCGCTTACGAGAAGTAACAGAGAAGCCTGAATAATGATCCTTTACGGTTCCTCATTTTTCATGCAAATTGCCCGTAGGCTCCGTTGGAGTTGCTTCTTGTGGTTTATTTTTGGGATCCTATACGGTAACCCCAAAAAGGAACTACTACGGAGTCTATGGGTATCCGTTTCTCATACCCAGGCAGAGACTCACAGCTGCACTTGTGGCATGATGTTGCGTTGGAGTCTTCGTCAACTAGCGAGGTCACCAGTCCAGTGTTCAGGTCTCAAAATTCATGTAGAGTCGTTAATAATTGGGGTTTTGGAGGTTCCTTTTTATAACCATAGTTTAATATACCCCTAAAACCATATTCTAGATGTTAAGGCCCCTACATTAGACCTCCAATGCCTTTGTAGCCCGAACAATCACACTTTGAGAGGCTTGCTTTCTCTAGGAAGCTTGCAGTATGGTGGTTCCGAAAATCAGGCGCCTGTTTGAGCGATCTGTCTCAAATGGGACCTCGGGGTGAAACAGTCGAAACGTAACCACCTCTGCGACGGGTTTGCTTGTGTATAAACCAATACATGTGCACATGCGCACGCACACAAACACACACGCACACACACACACACAGAACACACACACACACACACACACAAAAAAACACACACGCACACACGTGTACGTGTATCTATAGAGACACATATACATGTTCATATACATGTATCTATACACGTATGTAGCTTTACACTTACATATATACATAAACGCACCTGTATATATGTATATGTAACATGTATATATATATATATATATGTTCATGTACACATTTCAACAGTGAGGCTATGGTGCAACATGGAGATGGCCACGTTCGCAAAGTACTCGTCCAGCCCAGAAAAGGCAGAGCTGAAGACGGGTTAGTTCCGGTTGGGGACAAGCCTTTGGGCCTGGGGAATATACTTACTCGGGTTCTCGTGATTACGGTTTCGGGCGTTTGGTCTGGTGTTAAGGGTTGAGGGACTAAGGTGTAAGGTTTGGAAGTACTGGTATACGGTGTAGTATACTGGCAACCCTTGCAAAGTTTGAGGGCTAAAGGGTTAATAACTCATCATGGCGAAGATTTGCCCCCAAGATGGAATTCTTGCCGCTGTGGCTTGCTCCTTGGATGCTGTCCTCTGTTCTGCTGGACCTCTTGGGTGTCACCCTCGTCTGCTGCATGCAAAGATCCGCCAGCGGGGAAGGCTACGAAGACAACATCGATGCTATCGCTGAGCACGGCGCAGAGCTGATGGGAGGTTCTCCGGACATACGGATCTTCATCCACATGTTTTTGGAGGTCTTCCCAAGCTTCCTCTGCTATCTCCCAGTGGCCTTGCCCACTCTCCTATCCTTCAAAAGGACTTCTGGGGGCCGAAAAAGGTAGTCTTTGCGTTTTGAGGGGAGTATAGCCTACCATAATATATGCCTAAGGCTCCATGTACCCTTATAGTAGATACTTAGGCCTTAAAGTACCTATATAGGGACTGCTTTGGGGCTTAAGTATCTACTATAAGGGTACATGGAGCCTTAGGGTATGCGGCCTTGAACCTTGTGTTCCTAGCACATTGACAGACTCGTAAGGCCCTAAAGCTTACATCCGAAACCTTAAACTCTCAGCCCAAAACCTAAGCCCTAACTCCTTCCCTCAACCATACAGTAGAAGCCCAAAAGTTGGAAACCCAATAGCCTCCGTCCTTAAGAGTAATGTAAAGGGAATCCCAGCACTATTTGGCCTTAATCCGGTTTCCAACTTTATGGGGTATACTGTAACCATAATTACACCCGAGCCCTCAAGCCTTACACCAAACCCCCTCTAAAACCCCAAACCACCTAAGGCCCCAAACCCCAAAATCCGAAACTCCCAACCTACTCTAACCCTACACCCTAACCCCTGAACCCCTAAGCCCCCAAAGGCCCCCCAAAAACACCCCAAAACCCTAAACCCTAAACCTTATAAACCCTAAACCTTAAACCCTAAACCCTAAACCCTAAACCTTAAACCCTAAACCCTAAACCCTAAACCTTAAACCCTAAACCCTAAACCCTAAACCCTAAACCCTAAACCTTAAACCATAAACCTTAAACCCTAAACCCTAAACCCTAAACCCTAAATCCTAGACCCTAAACCCAAAGAGGAAGATCAAAGGGCATGAGCTGATGCTCGAGCAGATGGCAGCCTTCGACCTAAAGAATGCGAAGTGCCTTTTAGGGCTCAGTTGCCCAGACAGGGTTTAGGGTTTAGGGTTTAGGGTTTAAGGTTTAGGGTTTAGGGTTTAGGGTTTAAGGTTTAGGGTTTAGGGTTTAGGGTTTAGGGTTTAAGGTTTAGGATTTAGGTTTAGGGTTTAGGGTTTAGGGCTTGGCCTTCATTAAGGAATAGAGCTTGAATCATAATATTATGAAGCCCCTTATAGTTTAAGGTATATTGCTTAATTCAGGGGGTATTGGGCTCTCTGGGGTGTTTAGGGCTTTGGGTTTCGGGCCTAGGGTTTAGGGCTTTAGGCTTGGGGCTTTGGGCTTTGGGTTAAGGGCTTTAGGGCTTTGGGTTTAGGGTGTGGGGCTTACGGCTTAGGATGTAGGATTTAGTCCTTAGGGCTTAGGACGAAATCTTCCTCAAAAGGGTTCCTTTTAAGGGGAACCCTTTAAAGGAGAACCCTGAAGGGGAGCTCTTAAAGGAACCCCTTAAAAGGTTCCTTGAAGGCCTCTCCATAACGGGTTTTGTGGGTTCAGGGTTTTGGGGTTATGTGCACGGATTGTACCTTAAACGAGTTCCTTCATGAGCTCTGTAATGGAATCTATGTGTTCAGGGTTGGCAGGGGACGAAAAGTACCCCAACAGAGTTTAAGGTTCTAATATAGAAGGGCTTCCTAGTCTAAAGATGCAAGGAGCCTACTTGGGGGAATGGATATCGGGATATTGGGGGGGTATTATATGGGATTATATAGGGGCTACTATAGCGATCCATTGCCCCCTTTCCCTACTAAGCATCAGGGTGTCTTAGTAGCTGAGTTTAGAAACTTTAAACTTTTTGGGATAATGAAACCCTCTTAAGACTGAAAGCTTAAACTTTTTTGGGCTAATGAACTCGGCAACTAGGGTGTTTCAGGGTCCTTGACCGTTAAAAGGAACTCCAGAAAGTTGGAATATGGAATAATGGCAGGATCCCCTATAATTTACCTTAAAGGGACCTAAACTCTAGACCCTTAACCCTAAACCCTAAACCCAGGGTGTTTCAGGGTCCTTGACCATCAAGGTGCTCCGTGGAAGCAGATCGACCTCTGGTGGAAGAGCAAGTAGCTCCGCCCGGTTTTAGGGTCGAGGGTTTAGGGGGTTTGGGGGTTTTAGGGGTGAGCGTTTAGGGTTTAGGGGGTTTAGGGGCTTAGGGGTCAGTTGTCTTGTGTTTTCATAGATTCTGATTCTGAGTAGTATAGGGGCCTTAATAATTACCTGTCTCATTTTGGGGGTTCCCTATTACAAATATGGTATAATGGGCCCCCAAACCCTTTTCATTCCTAACACCCCTGCAGTTGCAAGGTTGCCCTGCACTTCCAGCCGGAGATAGACCACGAAGTCATCGTCGCAGGCGCAGCTGAAGCGGCGCCCCCTATCGAGGCTCAGGACTCGCACCTTGCTGGCGGAAGGTCTGGGAGTTTCGACGGGGCAGGGTCTACTAGGACCCAGAGTAGGCCCTTATTCCCTTTTTTGAGGGTTCAGGTTCCCTTATAAGCCCCTTGAAAACCAAAAAGGGCGCCTTTTTTATTCCTAGGTTACTCTTGGGTTCAGTCTAAGAACTCCTGAAGCTTGGAGGTAAACGTCTTGGTTCCTGAGTAGTACCCTTTTGCCCTTTTTACTCTAGGGAGTCCTTATTAGAACCCAATAGTAGGAAAAGGGTACCCTTATTATAAAGGGGCTACTCATGAACCTAGACGTAGTTTAGCTTCCAGAGTCGCGGGACTTGGTGAGTCGGTAACAAGTACGGTTATAAGGTATCGGAGTTTCGAGGCGGTACCTGTAGTCTCCATTTGTGTTCCTTTTCGGGGTTACCTATACAATCCTTAATGTAGAATATTCTTAGTTTGCCGAGTTCATAAAGCCTAAGTATGTAAACTTTCAGTTCTGCAGGGGATAGCACGATCCCTAAAAGGTCCTACGATTTAGGAATTAAGGTTCAACGTCTAGGTTTTAAGGTTTAGGTTTAAGTTGTTCTTGGAAGGGACTCAGTTCTTGTAACATCCGCACCCACTGAATGCATGCATGTATGCATGCACGGATGCCGGGCAGGATGGATGGATGCATGTATGTATGTAGAAATTATGTATAGTGTACTGCGCCCCCAAACTCTTATTCTAGTTACTACGACCTCTACTCTCTTGCCAGAAGCTTCTCAGGTCTTTGACTTTGAAGAGGCGGGGTGTAGGATGACTTGCTGTTTAGGAATATACTAGGGGTTTGGGGTTTAGGGGTTGCATCGTTTTTGTCATGGTACTTCCCGGCTCAAGGCTTCAGGTGTTGCGGCTTTAGATTCTCGAAAGCACCCAGGCATGAAGAGGCCCTGGAGCGGTTCAACAACTACGTCCAGGGCCCGCTGCGGGCGGCATGCTTGGACAGCATTGGTGACCAAAAGGCCATTGCAGCTGCATGCACTACCCATAGGCTCCATAGAGTTCCCTTTTGGAATTACCTTTTAGGATCCTAAATATAACCCACAACAAGGAACGACAATGGATCCTATGGGGAGGTTCCCCCTAATCCCTCAGATCCTTCGCGTTACCATGGTGTGGTCTCCTGATGAACTAACAAAATTATTGCAGAACGAAAAAATGCTACCTGCGTTTAGTGGGCAGTTCCTGGAGAAAGTAATGTACGGAAGCGGGAATTCTGCAAAAGCCTAGCTTGCCGACCCGAAACGTAAGCCGATGGGATGTCAGAAACATCTCGGAAGGACGTGCCGCTGCACCTTTGCTACATCTGCTTCCTGCCGATGTCTTTCTATGCCGCTGTCAATGCACCTCGCTTGCAAAGCAGCTTCTGTGTCCGCTACTATTCGTATGATTGAATAGAATTGAAGCCCTAACCATAAACCCTAAATGGTTTCCAAACCCGCAACCCGGAAGCAGCAAAGCCTAGAGAAAAGCCGCCCAACACCTTTCAAGGTCACTCCCTTCGCGTATGGCGACTGCACCATGTCCTACTCGACCATGGGCTTCGATAGCCCGAATCACTTGATGGTTACCTTCGCCACGTGCTCCCAGGATGCCTTAGTAGGCTTTTTGGTGGCTTTACCTGAGAGTCACTGAGAGTCTCATACAGTTTAATGATTCTTGCGTTCATGGGTTTTTGAATGCAGGGTTGAGGGTTTCGCCTGAGGGCATAGGCCTTCGGAGGAAGGGGTACAGACAGAGAGGGGGTGTGATACGGTTGATGATATAAATCCTGCATTACCCATAATACGGAATATACCATAATTCCCATGGTTTAATGCAGGATTTATATCATCAACCGTATCATGATAGTTGCAAGCATGGGCCCTAGGGCCCTGAACCCTTGAGCTCTAAGCCCCTAAACCCCTAAACCCCTAAACCCCTAAATCCTAAACCCCTACACCCTAAACTCTAAGACTTAATTTAATCCCCTAAACCCAAAAACCAATTACGGGGTAGCTTCATGTTGGAGCAGACTAGAGCCACCAAATATTCCTTGAAAGTATGGACCCTATACCTTTCTACTATGAATCCCTATGTGGCATATGAACGCTAAACCCGCTTAGGCTTCATTCCGCCCCCCGAAAAAACCGGGTTCGGTGAGAGTCCATGTGCTGCCCGAAACCTGACACACCCAATCTCCCTAAGCCCTCTAACTACCTCGCCCTAAGAACTCCGAAGTCGAGGCGTCAGCTCCATAAACCTCATAGAGCCCCTCATGTTTTCCGAGCCCTAAAAGACGAGAAGGACCCCCCGTAGAAGCTGAAACCCCCTCCGTTCGCTTCCAAGGCTGGCTCTGCACACAGCTGCTTGTCTTCCCAGTGACCTTCCCGCTGCTCCTGCGCACGCTGCAACTCATCGAATCGATCTGCAGCAACAAGGCTCCTTCGTTGCTGGTTTTGCTCTTTTTGTTAGTGGCGTCTTCATAGTTTTTGTTGAGGGTCTTCGTTCAAGGGTGTTTTTAATGGGTCGCTTAAGCCACTTGTAGTATTTTGTTGAGGGGAGGCCTTCAGAGTTGTTGGCATCGGCATACATGCGTTTCAGGGTTTGGGGCTTCAGCGTTGTCTGTGGTTTGGGGTATATACGTAGGGGTCGTCGGGTTCAGTGTACATTTGGCCCCTCGAGGATTATGAAGGTTTGAGGATTTTCATTGCTACTGGTGAGGTCTCATAGGCGCGATTCGATGGTCTCTCTCCTTGTCGGGGTTGTTCGGGCTTCGGGGTCTTGCGATTTCTGACATAGAGTTTAGCTATATGAGCACGTGGACAAGCCTAAACCCTACATAAGCCCAAAGCCTTAGGGCATAGCACATCGAAGTAGCAGCGCAGGTCCTGCGGCTCCTTCTTGGCTCCATCGGCTGCTTGGAATAGGGCTTTGGGGTTTACTTGCAGGATCATGGGACTGAGTCAGTAAGCATTCTTCAAGGGCTCCTGAAAGGGATCTGTAGGGTACGGGGTTGAAGGTCTACTTGGAGGATCATGGAATTCCGTAAGTAAGGTCATACGTACCTTAACTGGGGTTGTAGTTATAAACAATCATAACTATACTTACCTGATTTATAAACCTAGTTACTAAGTCCCAGGATCCTCCTAGTAGGGGCCGGGCGGGAGCTGTCGTCAAGCCGGCCGAAGGGACCCTGATGGCAGATACGAGGCAGCGCGTTCGCCTACTCTTACACCTTCTTCTGTGCCGGCGCCGTCTGGGGTGTCACCACTGTCGTCAGTCAGAGGCGCATGTTGAATTCGTTGCTTCTGCGGTGGTGGTGCCAACCTGGACCCCAAAAGTTTTGAAGAATAAGAGCCTCCTATAGGTTTTGGGCAAGTATTTTACAGACTTCGAGGGTTTAGGAAGTGTTTTCGGGTTGTTCAGGCTCACAGCGGCCGAGGGTTTTCCGGGGCATCGCCGGAACGGGAACCCACCCATAGCCACAGTCTCCTTAGGTTCTTTTCTCATATCCAAGGGAATATAAAACAACAACGAGCATGTTTAGTGTTCTAAGGGGCATAGACAGCGACCACCCTTGACTGGATGGCCGGTAGTTCCGGTAGTTGAAACAAGATGCAGGTAGCAGCTTCTCCGGGATTGGGGGGCCTCAATGGGCCCTTGATCTGTGTAAAAAGAAACGGATGTTCCTTCCCCAGACTCAAGATACTTTCTTGTTCGGGATGCATGGCAACAGGAAATTTCTTGCCGCTGAGGATGTTTAATTTCGAATTCCACATGTTCACAGCTGTTCAGCATTTGGTGGAGGTAACTCAAGCCCCCATGCTGGGACCGGAGTGGGATTGGAAATAGACAGCCCGTGACAGCGTGGCCGGCTGGGGGCCCTGGGGCGGGTCTGAGGAAACCATTTTCAAAATTTCTGAGACAACTCGGTGGGCTTGGGGTTAGGGCTGGGTGCGACTCGATAAACAGCCTGCTGCAGCATGACAGCGCGGATTGATCCCAGGGACTTTGAGCCAGGAATAGGGCAGGTCAAGGCAGGCATAGCACGATCACGTTTTCTTACGCCAAAGACATTTGAATTTCCACAGCGTGCCCTGTGCGGCTGGGGCTGCCTGGGGTTTCTTATTGTATTCGTTGCCCACAGGGTACGTATCTTCGAAGATAGCACGCTCTAGAACATCCCCAAGCGCCACAACCAGACAACCGATCAGCCTACAACTTGAGATTCCACAAACCGTCCGCTTCGTTCACTAGAACTCTGGCAGCCTGAGAGATGTTGTGATTGAAGGTTTAGGGCTGCACACTCCCACAACTCTCAGCCCCATAAGCGTTAATATAGGGGCCTCAATCTTCATTACCTATACGTTTTTTTTGGTGGGTTCCTTATAATAAGTATAGTATAATGGACCCCAAAACCCGCTTCCAGTTATTAAGGCCCCTTTTCAAGCATTAATCCATGCCTTGCGCCAGCTTCTCGCCGACTTGGCTGCTAATCTACCTCACCGTCACTGGGCTTTGGAGTACTAGACTTTAATACTTTTTTCTGGACCTGTTACTTAAAGGGAACCATTAAACGTCTATGGCTACTTCAAAGCCCAGGTCATCGCTTGCCTGGCTTTTCAAGCCTGGCTCTTCTTTGGGAAGCGGCCCAAGCCCAGCTGCAGCTGTCGGCCGGAATTTCCCAAAGGGTCCAAGCAATGGCATAGTATATACTTTTGGGGGCCAACATACCTACGAATTATAATGGTACTTGGACCCTTTGGGTTTGGGGCTTTCGATTATGAAAGTTATGTTCTTCTTGTTGGCTTCGGGTTTGGGGTTTAGGGTTTAGTCATCTTGCATCTCTTCGAAACGTGAGCACTTGCCCTGCCTGCCCCACAATCCAAACTAGTACCCATTTAGTAACCCTAACTGTAGCTTGCAATGCTTTCTACTTGTACTACCGCTTCGTCACCCTTGTGGCACCTTGTAACGCCTCGTAATTCCTCATCGTAACTTTTCTTTAGGGTTTTGGGTTAAGGGTTTAGGGTTTATGGTTTTGGGCTTGTTTTTTAACCTAGCTGTAACACCGTACGTCGACGCCCTGACAGGTGCCTGGAGCCCATCGGCGGTGACGATTGCAAGCCCATGCTAGCCTTTAGGGTTTAGGGCTTAGGGGGTCTAGGGTGCCACCGGAAGGAGCACGAGTGGCCATGCAGGATCCGCGGAATCCTTGAAGAGCTCAGTCTTTGGCAAGGCTGCTCACTCATACTACTTCGTACAAAGGTCAGGAGTTTGTGCTTGAGGCCTGCACATGCCCTCCCTCCTTCATTTCGGGCAAATTCGCTCTGAAATGCGCTCGTCGGTGCTGCGGTGATGGCACGCGGCGCCGCAGGATTTCCTACTCCTGGAGGAGCTAATCGGCGCTTCCCGGCAACATCACGTGATGAGGATTCTTTCCGGCTCTCAAAGTGGGCGGTAAGTCTTCTCGGCATATGGCAAAAAACAGTGCAGCGTGCAGTGTTTGTTCATGTCCCCCCTTGGACTCTTCCTGCAGTAAGAACAGACTCCTTGCTGTTCTGTTCGAGCTAGCGTTCCACCACTGATCCGTATTCCTCCTTTGAATTAAAAATACATGTAGTCTTTGTGCCTGTGAGTCCTAAACCCGAAACCCTATGGCCCTAAACCTAAACACTAAACCACGTGAAGCCCTGCATCCTTCTGATCACCGTCACCAGGCCGGCATCCCACAACACAAATCCCGGGCTCTTGCTCAGGAACTTCGTTCATGATATTCAAACAGGAGCTTGGGTTTAGGGCCGCAGATCTGGTTGCTTAGCATAGATTCTTCAATAGGAGCCCAGCTTTCATGATGAAGCCCCACAACTTTTGGCCCAAGCTGCGGCAGTGAGCGTGGCTTTCCAGAGCCCTGGTCCCCGATGTCAGACAAAGCGCTGTCACGAGCTTCGACACCTAGAAGTCTTCCTGTGTTGTGTGAAGACTTCGGTTTCAGGCAGTTGCTGGGTTTAGGGTCATAGGTTGCATAAGGATGGTGTGAAAACAGACTCGACTTCATAGAATTATGCTTTCCAAACGGGGGAAGGTTGTGAGGTGTCGAGTGTTGAAAGCAAAACCCACAGTGCGAGCTGCTGTTGGTTGCGTTGAATCCGTAATCCCTAAACCCTGCGTCATCGCAATATCGGCAATTCCGCCTCGGATGCATAATATAGAGGCCATATAATAATTAGAATAGGGTTTTGGGGCCCATTATACTCTATAACTATAATACGGAACCCCCAAAATCATTTATTTGGTTCTGGTTCTGTGCGGACTGTAGAGCCCTATGCGGGCGCGTCCCAAAAATCATGCAGTGAATTCAACCGCGGGGCAACGAGCAGTATGTACTCAGAGACACTTCTCAAAATGCTTTGGCACAGAAATCTGCAAAACTACATTGGATGAGACGCCCCAGTCTCCAGCAGCACCTGTACAGAAGAGCGGCTTTGGGGGGAGATGGAACCAGCGCACGCCTCTGACGTGAAAAGCTGTCTCCTCCGCCACACAAAAGAAACAAACCTGCAGCGCTGTGCAGCACTGGGCGAAGCTTACCCTCTACTCAGTTACTGCAAAGTCCACATTGGTAGCGTGCAGCATGTTGCGTATGTGACAGGATGACCAAACCACCTGGGTCAAAGATGGTCGTGCTCTGGGGATCCCTTCCGATAACGATCTCCGAGTCAATGCACCGGACGTGAGCAGAGTCGCTCGTCGGCGCTTTCCACAGATCATCAACGGATGCAGGCTCGAAAACGATCAACAAGCAGCAACAGCAGAACACGTGTTCGCCAGCACCTGCCTCACTGAAGAAGCTATCCAACGTGTCATCTCCGCAAGCGAACATCCTGTCCGCAGGAGTGTGTAGATCGGGCTGAATGCCGTGCTCGAGGCAGAATAGCTCCCAGGAGAGATTGCCGATATGGTCGCCACGCTGGCTGGCCCACTGTGCGTCACTCTCCGACTGGTCGCACAGCGAGTGAAACAGTATCCGACCCCGGTCAGTGTTCCTCATCGGAAGAGTTTCCCAAACCATGTCGTCAGAGACTTTTTTGATACCATGTCCATCCACACTACAAGCGCCCGCAACCTGACATGTCTTCCCACATGGGCCATCATGCCAGCAACTTCCGTTAGCCATCTTGTCATGGCAAGAATCCTCACCAGAGAAAGCCTCTATTGCGAAGGACCGTATCAAAGCTTTAGAGCCCGACAGATCGATACCCATACGCCCTTGCACAGCCTCTCGCAGTGCACGCAAAGATATGGGCCCAAATGCACCAAGCTGACGAGCCACCACAGTAACTTGGTCCTTAAGGGCCTCCTCGAAGTCGTAGCCGTCGTCCATATTGGCAGGCGTGCCCCAGATTCCCAGCATCTGCCGGGCCATGTGCTGGTGGGCACTGGGGTCCCTGGCTATGGGTCCCCGCTGTTGGGGAGTTTGATCCAGGACCCTCCAAAATCATTTAGGCAATTATTTCGGCCCCTATAGGAGCTCGGGCTTGGGAGCATGCACCGTAAAAGCAGATAACGAAGACCACACCGGGGCCAGGGCATGACCAACCTTAAACCCCAAAACCCTGAGCCCCTACACCCTAAACCTCTAAAGCACTGCAACCCTAAACCCCTGAACCCTACCTAGACCTGCAAACCCCTAAACCCTAAACCCACACCCCTAAACCCTAAACCGCTAAACCCTACAATCCTAAACCCTTAAACCCTAAACCCCCCAAACCCCTCGACCCAAAACTCCTCAAGCCCTGTAAACCCCTAAACCCAAAAACCCCGGAAGCCCTAAACCCTAAACTCCTAAACCCCCAAACCCTGAAGCCCCAAAATCCCCCCCAGATAAGCCCAGGAGTCGTTCCTGCCCCGGACGGCGATCCGATTTCGGTGGCGGCCTCTTTCCTTGGAGAGTTGGGTTTCTTCTTGCAGGATCCCGGATATTTTGGGGTTTAGAGTTATAGAGTTTAGGGTTTAGAGTTTAGGGTTTAGGGTTTGTAGTTATAGAGTTTAGGGTTGAGATTCAGAGTTTTTTAGAAGCTGAGTAGGTAACCTTTAACCTTTTGGGGCTCATCAAATTCTACCATAGTTGACAAGGCTAACCTTGTTTGTCAGGCCCCTTGTTGCTTGCTACGGAGCCCTAAATATAAAGCAATTTGGGGACTGTTGAACTCGACACCTAGTCCAGGGCTGAAGCTTAAGGTTCTGGCTGTGCTTTGACTAGGTTTTCGAATGAGGAACTTAACTTATAAGCTGCCATGATAAGGAAACCCTTTAAGGAATAGTCCTGTTACTGTAGATGCCTATTTCTGATAGTTTAGACGGACTACCGCAACAATTACTATAGATCCCGACTCTGATAGCTTAGGTGTTTTACCGCAACAAGCACCGAGAGGAAGATTGGGGGTCGCCACGAACCCGAGGTTTCGAAGCCCGGTGAGCCTGGCGATGACGCCCCTGGCCCTGATGACGATGCGGAAGATGACGACAGCGGCTCCAAAGACATTCTTCAGTTCACCACGTCGCGACCTGGCCGCCTGGGTACCGGAAGCCAAGTGGGCTTGCAACAGCTTTCTCTCTCTCTCTCTCTCTCTCTCGTTCTTTCTCTCGCCGAAACTTTCAGGAACCCTTGAATGAATCAGCGCCTCACACCGCCTAAACCCGCATGAGGATCTACTTCGTCGAGGTCGAGAAGGATCCTTGGTATTGTGGCCTCCCTAAACCCTGAACCTAGAGACTGCAAAACCCCCCGTCAGGAAGTATACCTGAAAGAATAGGAGGGGTAGTGGGGTTCTTATTGTGATTTTAAGGTATATTCCTCAAGGGGCTCTTACCCCTACACCCCAAGCTTTTTAAGCCCTAAACCCCGACTTGGCAACTCCTTTGGCATCTAAACCCTGACCCCTAAACCTAGAACCATAAACCCTAAACCTTAAACCCTAAACCCTAAGCCTTAAACCGCTTTGTCAGCTCCTTACTCGGTGCTTCGATGTTATGTAGACCAGCAAATGCTCTATGCTATGATTGCGGGAGTGTACTATAGCAATATACCACACAATGCTCTACTAAACTCTAAGTATAGTAGACTAAAATGTTCAACAATCATAGTATAGCTATGAGGAAGACACACTCACGGTGGATGTCATGCGCCTGGGGAAGATGGAGGACACCATCAAGGTGAAGTACTACACGGACACTTGGCTGAAAGATTTCGGGTTTAGGGTGTCCTTCTGCATAGGAAGAAAACAGCTTGAGAGGGGCATTGGAGTGGTGGCCACTCATGGTGAGGCTCCTGAGACATGCTTTTGTCGCTGTCGCTCAGTTTAGGGTTTAGGGGTTCAGGGTTTTGTGTGTGTGTGTGTGTGTGTGTGTGTGTGTGTGTGTGTGTGTGCGTGTGTGGGTGTGTCTCTGTGTGTGTGTGTGTCTGTGTGTCTCTGTGTCTCTGTGTCTCTGTGTCTCTGTGCCTGTGTGTGTGTGTGTGTGTCAGCCTTGGAGTGGAGAGCCCCCAACTGTGACCCCGGCCATCAAACAAATGATGGTGTTGCTTTTGTATACAGCAGCCGGACCAAGCAAGCAAGGCTAAAACCCTATATATGGTGCAGCGCTGCTAGGCCCCCCCTCCCCCCCCCACCCCATGGTATCCCCCCGTCCCCCCCTGTGGTTCGCTGTGGTGTGGGTTCCCCCCTGCCCGTCCCCCCTGTGTTGCGGTCGGCTGCGCCCCCGTCCATGGTTATTGCTGGTTGGGCGTCCGGTTGCTAAGGGTTTGGACCGTAGGATGTGATACAGTTCTATTGAACTCCGACCTGCCCTGAGCTCCAAAGCCAATGATAGTGATGAATATCATGGTGATGATGATGATGATGACGAAGGTGGTGGTCATGATCCCCATCCGCACTCTCCTCCGGTCCCTTGCTCAAAAGCCCCGAATGAAAACCATTCAAAAACGTGCTCAAGCTTACTTGTAGCGAACCCAACCGAAACTTGGCTTGGAATGACAACGGTCGATACAGTTTCCGCAAGAACATCACAAGCCAAGCACGGTTTTCAAGTAGATAAAGCAATGAACATGCGGTGCCGCAGCCCAGAGCAACATAAGAGCAAAGGTACCACCAACAGCACACTGGGATTAGCACCTCAACATCATTGTGCGCAACATTCTCATTTGTGTTCGAAGACAGGGGCAGGGAAGGCGCCCGGTGGTTCCCTGCGTGGATTATCCTTCCCCACCCCGCCTCTGTGGTTCGCCGTCTTGTGGTTCCACTGTTGTGGGTTATCCCTCCCGCCCCCCGCCGTTGCCAAGGCGAGAGGCGAGGCCTGGCTTGGGGGGGGGGAGTTACGTGGAGTGTGACTGTTTGATGGGACGAGACTCCTGGCTTTGGGGGGGGGGGGGGGGCATACCATGGGGGGTGGGGGGGGGGGGCCTGCGACGCGGCGACGCGGCACCATATACGCCCTCAGTCTTGTCCCGGTTTGGGGTTCAGGGCTTACCCGGACCCCAAAAAATAACCTACCTTTTTAATTTTTCTTGATACATAGAAGTCCTCAGAAAGCCAGGTTATGTGGGGTTAAGGTGGGGTTTAGAGGCAAGTTCCTCCATAGCCAAGGATTGTCTTGTTTTTAGTAGGGAATGGGGCAATGGTAGGAGGATCCCTCTAAAGGAACCCTCAAGCCATTCCCCCATTCCCTACGAAGCACCAGCCAAGGAAGATGGTTCGGCGAAGGCCGGCGTCAGCTACGCGCACACCGAAGGCCGCTCTGCTATACGCCAACCGACAATCCTTGCCTTTCTCATGGGGGAAAAAGTAGTTCTTTTTGGGGATTACCTTATAGGATCCAAAATGTAAGCCACAAACAGGAACTACCATGGAGCCTATGGGTGCTTGCAAAAGAGTGAGGTTTTAAAGGATTTAGAGTTCGCGGTTTAGGAAGGTTCACGGATGCCCCAGCAAGACCCATAAGTGGGTGTGCAGCCACCCGCATGAAGCCGCTGTTTGCACTGGCAGCCGCTTCAGTCTGGGGGAAAGGCCAAGAGAAAAGTCTTTCACGAGAAAGCAGCAGCTATGCAAGACTGATCCCAACGCTCATGATTAAACCCTAAACCCTCAACCCTAAAGCCCTCAACCCCAAGCCCTTCTTTGAGTATTCAGCACTTCGAAAGACCAACCCTTCATGCCCAGCTTGCTCGGTGGACTCGAAGCCTCCAGAGCTCACCAGGCGAGTTGGTCTTCCCGCCTGGCGAGCCCCGTGGCTTTATTGCTAGGGTTTGTAGGGTTTAGGGTTTTAGGGTTTAGGGTTTAGCTGGTGCTACTTGTACGACGATGCTGACCACGACGACGACTACTAGAACACTACGACGACGACTGCAATCACCGCGATCCGGACCTCTTCCCCCAAGGGTTGAACCACCCATTTGTATTCATACTTCCCGATGGGCAATGCAGTTGGGGCAGGTTTGCTCCGACGATCGGTGCTGTCGGACAAGAGGGAGAGTTCTTGCAGTCAGAAGTCGACATTACCCAGCCTTCCTTCATCTCTTTGTCTATTCTGTTGCCGCGGTTTAAGGTTTAGGGTTTTGGGTTCAGGGTTTTCCTATTCCTATTCTACCCCGACTTATGGGTGCACATCCATCTACGTCTCTGCTCTGCTACCTACTTACTACTGGCCGTCATGTACACCTGTTTAAAATTCAAGGGTGCGAGGACTGTCTTCGTCAGCCCGAATAAAATTGGAACGACCCAAACCTAATGGTAGAGTAGGTAATCTTTCACCTACTTGGGCAATATCATCCCAAGCAAATCCCAAGATAATGCATTAGTTTCTCTAGCAAATTGGACAGCTCAGCACCACCGCCAGTCGCCTTTTCGGCCCTCCTCCCCACATGCCTGCAATCAAAACAAAAAGTCGCGGCACAAAGTTAAAAGTCAGAAGCTGAAGCTTCCACCTACATGCTTCAATCCCGTGAGATAAGCTCTATCTGGACCATCAAGAACCTACCTTTTCAAGGACCAAAAAGGAAATCATACTAAGGAACCCGAAAAAATAAAGTTTTTACAGGGTCCAGGTAGACAGTGATCCCTTTGCCCTAAACCTCTAAACCTTGAACCACAAAATCTTCCCTAAAGGAAGCCTCGAAAAGAGAGCCACACCTCGCGCCTCAGGTACCGGCAATCCATCGAGATCGAAGTTGTGAAGAACCCGTCTCCAGACTACAGGATTTGTACCGGGTTCTTGGGGTGACGGTCATGGTAAGTAGAATAGGGTTTAGGGATACAGTCTAGAACAGGATTTGTACCGGGTTCTCGGGGTGGCTGTCATGGTAGTTAGAATTAGAATTGGGTTTTGGGATACAGTCCAGACTTAGTTGTATTGGGACTATACTGTAAAGGAATACTAGAGCTCAATTCAATACTGTTCTTTGGGGTTTGAGGATTTAAGGAGCCACCTACAAACCCACAACCCTAAACCCGAAGCAGCCCTAAGCCACCCACGAACCCACAACCCTGAACCTTAAACCCGAAATTTTAAGCCTCCCACGAACCCAAAACCCTGAACCGTAAACACGAAACCCTAAGCAACCCTAAACCTTAAACCCAAAACCCCAAAATCCAAAACCCTAAACCCCGAACCCAGAACACTAAGCTCAAAACCCTAAACCCTAAACACTAAGCCCAAAACCCTAAACCCTAAACCCTAAACCCCTTCCGGCTTCCAGCTTTTCGTCAGCTCCCTTCGCCGAGCTTCCCCAAGGCGTTGGGCACCGACCCTGGAGTACAAGGCCGTGGGGCATCCGGGACGGGTTTAGGGTTTAGGATTTTGGGTTTTGGATTTTGGGTTTTGGGGTTGAGGGTTTAGGATTGTGGGTTTTGGATTTTGGGTTTTGGGGTTTAGGGGTTAAGGGTTTAGGGTTTAGGGTTTTAGGGGCCGGGGGACTGTTTGGGTCTCCTTTCAAGCTTGGTTCAGGATTTAGGGCTTGGGAAGAAGGTCTTTGAGCTTGGCGTAAACCCTTACTGACCTTTAGGGTTTTCCCCTAAGCCCCCCAAGCTCTAAACTCTAAACCCCTGAACCCACCCTAAATCCTAAAGCCCCTAGAAACCCTAAGCCCCTTAGAAGCCCCACACCTTAGCTATGCCTTCCGTCAAAGGGTAAAAGGAGGGACCCCTAATAAGGACCCCTAGGTATATACCCATAATATAGCCATTATATACCCATTACATATCCCATTATAGGGTAGGGGTCCCCATTAAGGGTCCCTCCTAAACCCCCTAAACCCCTAAACCCCCAAAACCCCAAAACCCTAAACCCCATACCCTTATTGAACCCCTATAGATCCCTTTAAAGGGTCCCTCCTTTTCCCCTATGCCTTCCGGAGGTGCAGCTCTCCGACCCCTCGGGGTGCAACCTCGGCCGTGAGCCCAGTTTCAGAAGCACCAGGTATTGTGGGGTTCCTTAAAAAAAACATGGGTGGTAGTCAAAATTAAGGTCTTTTTTGGGTCCCTATTATAACACGGCGCCTATTATTTAGGGTACCCAAAAAAGGACCATAATTTTGACAACTACTCATATGAATCCTACTATTTGGGTTATAGGGCCAGGGTTTCTTAATCAGGTTCCTACGTTAGACAGCTGCCGTTCTGCAAGAAGCTTCATTGACGGCTTGTCTTGTTGCGGCCGCATTTGCAGGGGGATTCTGCTTTGCGCTTCCTCGTTTCCAGAGATGTTCTTAGAGGCTCGTGGGACTTAGTAAGTAAGGGTATAGGTACCTTATATAGTTGGAGTTGTAAGTGGTTATAACTATAGTTACCTTGTTTATAATCCTAATTACTAAGTCCCATGATCCTTTAAGCTGGTGCTGGCTCTACGGCGGACAAAGTCCTTGCCAGCCTTCCACGAAAGACGGCCTCAGGTTGGATACTGGGTTTAGGGTCTAGGGTTGAATAGAATTCATAGTATACATATACAAGGCCCTTAGATTCATAGTACAGGTATATAAGGCCCTTAGGTTCATAGTATAGATATATAAGGCCCTGAGTCGTAGCCCCATTATAGACTGCTGCTGTAGGGCGGCAGTACCCAAGCCTCAGGCATGTACTTGAAGACGGCCCGGGTGAAGTGCATTGATACCAAGCCCTTCCCGACCGCTCAGTACAAGCCGTCGTCTCTTGGCCGAGTTGAAGACTGTGGCTTTGAGGTTTAGGGTTTGGAGTTTGCATGATCGGTTCAGAATCATATCAGATGCCTCAAAGCTCCAAAAGTAGTTTCGCGATGAGAGGGAGGACAAGCCAAAGTGGTGAGTGGCTAGCATCAGTGCCTGCTGCACTGTTGGTGCAAATTCCATGACCTGCAGCGTTTGCCAGCTGTTCGATTCTTCATGAGTGCACGAAGCCTAAACCCTAAACCCCTAAACCCCAAACCCTGAAGCCCCTGAACCCCACACCGAAAGGCCCCAATCCTCAAGATATCGAGCTACCAAGACGTCCGCAGTCCGAGGCCCAATCCCGGATCCGTGAAGAGTGTCCTGTCATGTGAAGATGGTATTCGTTAGGGCCTTGGGCGAGCTCCGGAAGGTTGATATCGAAGTCGGAAGGATTAGTCTATAATTAGTTTTTACATAGTTAAACAATTATATTTAACAGATATCCCATCACCGTGGTCTAGTATTGTTTAAAGGCTCCTACATTCTGTGCACATATGCTCACAGGGCCCCAGTGTTCAGGGCTTGAAACTACTAACTACTACTTATCAGACTAGAGTTCCGGGGCATGGTTATGCCCCTTAATCCCTTTTAGGGTTCATTCCCTACCTTAGCCCCAGGACTTATTTAAGGAAATCATATTAGGGAACCCCAAAAAGGTAGGTTATTTTGGGTCCAGGTAAGCCCTACACCCTAAACCCTCAACCCCAACCCCTATAGCACAACGATAGAAGCTTTCTTTTTGTTGCTCAGACCTTCGGCTCACTGAGATAGGCCTGTGCTCTCCCTGCAGGGGCTTGGAAGCTTAGGGATCAGGGTTTCAGGGTTTAGGGTTCAGGCGGGTTTGGGGGTTTAGGGTTTCAGGACGCTTTGTCTCGTTCTGAGGTTAGGCTTGATCTTTGTTTGGGCCTGGGTGGGCCTCTGCCTCGGACGAGATTCACTAGGCTTCCACTCGAGGCCCTCTCTGCAACCGGGGTCTATCTAGCAAAGTACTCCCCTTGTATATATATATATATATATATTCATTTTTATTTATGTTTATATAGATATATGCTAGACTATACCCCACCATCTTCGTTTTACTGTTTAGCCTCCGGTTTTCGATGCCAAGGTAAGCTCCGGCTTCTCCGAGAGTACTACAAGCTCTGCTTCCAAGTGCCAGGGACGAAGTGGCGTACCTTCCTGACTCACGGCCGAACCGTTGGGGTTCAGGGGTTTCGGGTTTGGGGTCCAAGGGTTTCCGAAATTTAGGGGTTTAGGGATTTAGGGTTTAAGGTTTTAGGGTTTAGGGATTTCGGAGTTTGGGGTTCAAGTTCAGGACATAGTGCTTGAACCCATTATGTCTTCTTTCAGGGTGCAGTTCTTTATGTAGGGCTTTCGTGCTGGAGGCTTTACACTGAAAGCTGTGGCTTAAAGACGACCGAGAGGTGAGAGGTCTTGTGCATCACATGAGTAGCTGTGTGTGGAGCTTGAAGTTCGCAATTGCAACCTCAAATTCAGTGCACACGAAGATGGTTTACATGCGCAGTGTTGTAGCAGTATTTTCTGTTGATGGCGGCAAGTATGAGCCCGGTTGCTGGCAGTTCCGGCACATGTTCCTGCACTCAGCTCGTGAGTTTGATCTCCTATCTCTACACTAAGCACCGACTGTTCATCCCTAAATTCCCTAAGCACTTATCCCTCTTTCATGCATGACATCTCATCCACGCTGCCGAGGACCCTGTTCATAGACCAGTTCAAGCAGCTTGGGTCCAATGGAGCTGCAGGTCTTGCGGTAAAGAAGCCATAACACCATAATCATAGTTCTATGTGATCCGTAAACCTTGATGGTAACCCTTATCCAAAGACTGGTGCTCATAGCAGTACAGTATTCTGACTATCCGAACAGTGGCGCTCATGGCAGCACCCTTGTGTTGAAGATGGTAATGATACTAACAGTGCCCGACCATTCATGTCATTCACAACTGAAGGAGCACGGTAATGATAGCGATTTTTAATAGCAGTAATGAGAAAAGGTTTAAGATGATAGAATGCCATTGTTATCATAGTCATGAGCTGAACGACTTTCATGGAGTCGTACGATAGTAGCACTCGTGGCACTACATAGGTCCGTATTGATAGCCATAATGATACAGATAGCAATCGTACTCATGGCTACATTCATAGCAAGTATAATACCAGCACCAACAGTCATACTAATGCAATCGAAAGTATGGGCGGCAATAGTTTTTCCGTTGCCATGCCAGTAGTTACATGCTATGAGAAGTTCCCGGGAGTCAACCGACTTTGGACGAAGGGCAAACAGTTCTAGCGGGCTTTGACTGATTCCCAAGCTCTGACCTTCCCAGGAACGGCTACAACGTCGCTAAGCTACTTCTGAATGTGTATATCGTTGACGTACTTTTCAACACCGCCGACCCCACCACCCAGGACGGCTGGCTGCGCAATTTAACTATCAGGTTTAGGGTTTAAGGGGTCTTTAGGGTTCAGGAGGTTTAAGGGTTTAGGGCTGACAATCGGAGTTGGTTACGAGACTGTGAATTACTCGTTCGAGCTAGGACGCCCTCTTGCTACCCGACCGTGCGGGCACTGCCGTTCTCGTGGGCCTCTTCTACGTGCTACTTGGCAAGACCAGGGCGCTATCGAGTCGATGAGAAGGTTGCAACGAGTGTCTCCTTGCAGTGCGACGGCGATCTTCCCGGCCACGAGATCTCATGCTAAGTCTTCGGAAGACCCTTTAGATGACGTGCTTGACTGCTTAGGCGACGGTATGCAGATGTCGTCGCAGACTTCCCCGACCCTGAGGGTCCATGTATCCAAAATAGTATCTACTTTGGCCCCGAAGTACTTGTATGGGGGCTACTTTAAGGCCAACGTATATGCGATATGAGTGCATGGATCCTCAGGGCAATCAAACATCCCCCAAACCCTAATCCGTAAAACCCCTAAAGACCCTAAACCCCTAATCCCTAAAACCCTAAAACCCCTAAAGACCCTAAACCCTAATCCCTAAAACCCCTAATCCCTAAAACCCTAAAACCCCTAAAGACCCTAAACCCTAATCCCTAAGACCCCTAATCCCTAAAACCCTGAAACCCCTAAAGACCCTAAACCCTAATCCCTAAAACCCCTAAACCCTAATCCCTAATCCCTAAAACCCGAAAACCCTAAAACCCCTAAGCACCCTAACCCTTCTCCCTAAAACCATGAAAACCCCTATATAATCCCTAAAACCCCTAAACTCCTCGGACTCGAATCTCTACTGTCCGGATCCGGCGGGAAAGCTGCAGCACATTCCTTGTGTCCTGTGGGTATTGAAACTCTCTGCTAGAAAATGGCTTCTAGCTTAGGCTCTAGTAGGGTATCTAATCCTCCCATTAAAGCCTTCAAAGCTTATAGGCCCTAGTAGACCCCATAGAACCCCCTGTGGAAGCCAACAGAGCCCTATCGCACCCAACAGAACCCAGTCAACCATCGAGCTGTCCGCCAAGGTTGCCGATGGTTGCCATTCACATCGGCGGTATCGTCAAGGCCAAGAAGTTAGGTTCTAGGGTTTACTGTCGAGCCGTAAGCATCCTTTCAGGATATGAGGGTCCATAATTTAGGGTTTTGGGTTGTGGGTTTAGGGTCTGGGGTTTAGGCTTTGAGGGTTAGGGTAGGGTTGGCTTTAGAGTGTTGCGAGTTTGGACGGTAAGGGGCGCAGACTTTGAAGGTCTGGGATCGAAGCCTGTAAGGTATTAGCCGTTTTACAGAGGAGTGCAGAGTTCAGGTCAGCTAAACCGATACTTCCGTGCGGTGCGGGGAACAACCCCTATTCGAAGATGAAGTGTTGAACCAGTGGGCAGGAGTTGTGTAAGTACTCGCCCTAAGCAATGTCATGCCTAACGCCAAGGCTTAGAAGCCTGAACGCTCCCAAGCCCCGAGACACGACACAGCCATCGCCGGAGAGGTCCAGATGGACTTGCCCGGGCAGCTGCGTCTATTTTTACAATGCTGTTTGTTCCGGAAATACTTGAACTACAGAGGCTCGGCTTGAGGATTCTTGATTTTTTTCGCAGGCTTGCACGCTGAGGCGGACACTAGCCGAAGAGCCCCAGACATTCAGATGACAAACTCACGACCCAAAGAGCCGTCCGATGCCACCTGCCAGACAGCCACAGACGGCATCTCTGCCATCCTTGCCGAGAGTGCTGAACCAGTGCTATAGACGCCTAAAGTAAATAAGTACCTATATCCTATATTATAGTCCCATCATAGATTCCGAAAAGACCCCCTTAAACGAACCATCAAGAAGCAGCCCTATTCTTATTTTTAGGCCCCCATAGTTCGCTAAGACTGCAAGCAGCCCAGGGACTTCTCCACTGCCGGTCTTAGGCCACCTTCACATCCCCAGAAGCATGGGAATTCTGGTATATTCCAAATTATGGGTTTAGGGTACCTTAAGGACCCGAGACTATGGGAATTATGGTAGGTTCCTTGTTATTATGGGTCAGGCAGGATTTATATCATCAACTGTAGGAACCTTCACTTCCCCAACCACCGCAAGCCCGAGGCGAAGAATCTCGCGCTTCTGTGGTTCCGTCTGATATGCAAACGGCGATCACCAACGACGCAGGCCCCACTTGGAGGATCATGGGACTTAGTATGTAAGCTTAAGCGTACGTTATAATGGGAGGTATAACTATAGTTATAGCTATAGTTACCGTACTTATAACCCTAATTGTAGTTACTAAGTCCCATGATCCTCGAAGCACCCCTTCGAGAGCAGCACATCCTCCGAATCTGCGCAGCCTTCCCAAGTCCCGAGCCCCTCATGACTTTTAAAAGGGATTTTTGCGGGGTTTTGCGAGCGATTTGGGGAGTTCGTGCTCAGGGTATAGGCGGTATAGGGTTTTTTGAGAAATGGAAACAGAGTCTTCCCTCTGGCGCAGCCCTCCCCTTCGACCCGCTGGAAGGCAGTTGTGCCACTGCGTATGCCAAGTTGCTGGATCTCATTGCGGTTTGTCTGGAGCAGCATGGCTGCAAGGTAGACCGAGGGTCATGGGCATAGAGATTCAAGGTATGTTGAGGAGATGCATGACGCTTACATGATGCTGAGCACGATGAAGATGACAACGATGGACTTGATGACTCATGATGTTGATGCTTCTGCTGGCCATACTCTCACAAGCACAAGCAACAACAGCAATATCGTCATCGGCCCCGTCATCTTTGCCATCACTGTCATGAGTCTTGTTTGTCACCTTCTTCATCCGCCTCTGTGCCAACCAGAGAACACGTTGACAAGCAGATTTCACTGGCATGCCCTCTAGAAGTGCTATGCACTCATGCCGATTCAAGCCAGCTCAAGGCAACGAGTGCAACAGAGATTTTGGATGAGCAAAGGTCAGATGAGGCATGCGATTCTCCGGTGCAGTTTTCACGTATCAGTCCCCAAGTGGCAACATTCATCAGCACAATAAACATTATGATGGGGTGCCAGAGACCAGAGTCAGGTGAGGCTGTTGAGAAGAGAGGCTGTAGGTTTGTAGTTTCATTGAGGCTTATTGTCTTCACATACTTCACGCTCGACCGGAACCCCGCTGCTATCGTGTACATCGTGGCCATGCCAGCAGCTGCTTGCCTCTTTCTCGGCTTCGGATGTATTGGTTCATGCAATGTGAGGTCAAGGTGGGGCCTGCTTTGCTCGGGACAGTTGGGACGAAAAGCATCGTTCACCTCTTTCCTGATATCTGAAAGTCCTTACAGAATCACGGCAAGCACCAACGCAGCCTACCACACTGCTCGTCGATGTTATGCCTGTGCAGCAACAGCAGGCGTCCTCCGACCCCACTTCCCTATCCAGACGTCAGCTGCGTCAGCACATGGACAACTAAGTGCATGGTGGTGTATGTCGCGTTCGTCAAATCTCTGCGCCTGAGCTGCAAGAGAACTGGTCGAACTTGGTGATGCGATGGTTTGTTGTTTGCGTTTTCAGGCCTCAGAGGGCTTGGTGCTCAAGTTGCGGCACCCGGTCTGCCTGAGCCTTAAGCCCGAAACTAAACGCCCTAACAGTGCACCGAAAAACACTCTCACCGGAGGGCTCGGTGCGTCGCAAGCCCGGACTCAGCTTAAGGGTCTGGGCCACAGGGTTTAAGCTCTTGGTATGGTTCATAACCAAATATTTGGGTATCTGAAGCCCGAGGGAATGCTGGTCATGATGGCGATCACAAGGATGCCAGTACAGTAGCTATCTCAGTACCCAGAACAACGAGACTACCCTACGTGACGATGATAAGGCTATCCCTACTATGATAACAGTAGATCATGAGTTTGTGTCGAATCGGCTTTTCAAGAGTAGTAGCATGTTAACCATATCTTTGGTGTCATGATAAGCCAAGCTGTCCATAGATAAAGAGAACAATGATAGTGGATAATAAAAATAATATGTATTTGCAAATAGCTAATAACAAGAAGAATAGTAGCAATGATGAAGGTTGTTAGTCGTAAGCAAACTAGCAGCTGATGAGCCCTGAACCCAAAACCCCAGTCAGCTGCACAGGTGCCGGAAGGACGTTGACGCGTTCAAGGATCCTGGACTCAAAGATTTCGGGGCGCCGAGTTCCGAGCTAGGGGCGAGCACATGAGTGACTAATGTATCTGTGTATATATATATATGTATATACACATACGTGCGTACATATATACATACATACATGTGGATGTATTTATACTTACACATGTATTGTAATATGTACATACTTACATACATTTATAATACACATATACATGTTCATATTCTTCTAGTTGTGTGCATGCTTACATACATAACTACTTGCATACATATGCATACATACATACATACACATTGCACAAATGCCCACTTGCATACATGCATACGCAGAGTCTCTTTCTCCTTTGGCATCCTATGTGCATGCCTGCTAGTAGCCAACTTCCCAAGGTTTGCACTTTTCTTCCCCAGCCCCACGGTATGTGGGATTTTCCGAGAATTTGGGGTACAATATTTTGAGGTCCCTGTAATAAGGATCCTACTATTTAGGGTACTGTATCAGAGTCCCCTATTTTCGGAAACTCCCATGTCCGACTTCGCGCTGAGAGAGGCGCAAAACAAACTGGTCCTCCGCATCGTTGCAGAGGTCTGCGAGCGCGGCTGGGCCGGGTTTGGAATGGAGTCTCGCATGTTCTGTGGGATCGATGACAATTGCACTAAAAACAGCCTGGATCTTAAGTTGGATATGAACATATATTGTGCCTGTTTAAAAAACGTATGCATGTTGGCTAAAAACAGCCCTTACTGTGGAACTCAGTGTTCCTTGCATGGGCTCAGGGATGCTCAGGGTTCAGCTTAACGATTCTGGGTTAGGCTTTAGGTTTGGGGGTTCCTTTTGACTGCATGCTGCATGCTACTGCATCGCCCATCCAGCGAGTTCTCCGCAGGTGAAGGAAGCCCGAAGGCCTCATCTTTTCCCGAACACAGGTCTAGTGAAGCGACTTAAAAGAATGGTTTACGTTCCTATGGCCGCTTCTGCCCCTGTCCAAAGGGTCCATATACCCAATTTATGTATACTTTGGCCCCAAAGTACCTATTTAGGGTCTACTTGCTTCAAGGCCAACGAATATGCTATATGACTACGTGGACCCTTAAGGTAATCAAACATCCCCTAAGCCCTAATCCCTGATCCTTAAAACCCCTCAGCCCTAAACTCAAAGCCTCGGACCCGAATGTCTACGATAGGGGCCTAGATAATTGTTATATGATATATGTACCCTAAACCCTTACAGAACCCTTATAGATCACATAAAGGATCCCGAACCGATATATGGGTACATGACCCCTAGGGATGTCACCCCGAATCTGATCCCAGGTTACCGCCTCGTGGCCGATTATTTCCAGCGACCGCAGATGAACGAGGTCGGGTTTCCTTGTAGTACATACTACTGTAAGGGGTACTAGAAGGGTTTAGGGTTTAGGGCTTAGGGTTTCGGGTTCCTTTAAGGTGAACCGTTAAAGGGTTCTTTATAGTAGAAGCCAGAAAGTTGGAACATCAGACTCCTCATGGCCTTAAGGTAAAGTATAAGGGATCCTAGCACTAATCCTCCTAAAGCCATGTTCCAACTTTCTGGCTTCTACTGTAAACCTGTCAGAACCTGCTTTTCTGTAGGGTCCCTGTACAATGAGAACCTTGTAATACATACCTAAACCTGTCAGAACCTATTTTTTGTAGGGTCCCCATATAATGAGCACCTACAACTCAGTAGGTTATGGGAGTTTAAGGTCACCATAAACTGTACCTGTAGTCTGAAATACTGAAGGTCTGGAAGAGGTAGCACTTCACTGACTGCACTCGCCTTTGCAGCTTACGAAGCCTCTTGACAAGCTTTCTATGCAGCATTGTGTGTTGTGAAGCGGAACAACTGACAGAGAGCAAGCTAAAGTAGTTATTGCTTGCGCACATCTATTCTCAACAAAACTATGTGTGAGCTTCCGAAAATAGGGGACCCTAATATAGCACCGTAAATAGTAGGATCCTTACTATAAGGACCCCAAATAAAGTCCCCCGAATTTTCGGAAACGATCTTGCTTGATCTCTCTATGTTTCAGCTTGCCATCAGCTCGGGACTGTTGGGAAGCAGCAGAAAGTCGAGGAGGCGTAAACACCAGTGACTGCGAGTCACCTGACATGCTTACTTCGTTTCTACATGCTAATTCAGAAGTTGTGATATACCCTTGCCTGCCCTCATGGCCGATCTCTGCGTGCCGACTCATCGCGGTCGGCGATTTCTTTTTCCAGCATCCGGCCGAATGATCCCAACATCTTTTTACACTAAGACCTTCCAATATCCTTCAAGAAAGGAATATGCCACGATTCATATTAAGGATTGAAGCTTTTTTCCTTAATTACCGGATTTTGGAAGGTTTGGGAGCCCCGGCAAACCTTTTCCTGCAAGGGCTTCGCAACGTCAGCATCATCTCTGCGGCAGAAACAGAGCCGGAAAGCCCTGGCAAATCTGAACGACGACATGTTTCCACAATGGCTGCTCGGCAAGTATGCGGACGGCGACTCCCTGCGAAACTCCTCCCTGACATGAAAACCCCAAGGGTCCAAGTACCTAGTCATCACATACTCTTCCAAAATCCTAACCTACATAACTCTTATCCCAAAGCCGATTACTTGATTATTGGGTCCATTGGACCCTTAGGGACGGGGATGTATAGTCTTGTTTGACATCGACCCGCCTTCTGCAGCAAAGAATGACTCACGAAGACGATGGTTCTCAGAACTATAGAGCAAAAGCAGGACTTCTCTAGTTAGGGCAGCACAGGTTTAGCTTGTAATGCAGGGTTCCGAATCATGAACTTAATATTCTTCATAGTTATAATAATATAGTACTGTAGTATACTCCAAAGCCATACTCTAAGCACGAAGGCCGTGATAGTAGACGCGTGGAGTTCAGAGACATCTGCATTTTTCAACGGGGTTTAATACAAGTTACCATAAGCCCTTCCCCCATTTCCCCCCTCCATAAACATTCGAAGCTGGTCTTCATTTTTCGGGGGGGGGTATGTTTATCTCTACTCTCGCTTTTGAGGGATCTTGTACTGGCTCTTGCTCTTACTTCTGCTCTTGATCTTACTACCTCTCCTGCTCTTGGTCTTGGTGTTGCTCTTGTTCGCGCTACTACTCCCACTCTTGCTGGTGCTCCTGCTGATTAGGCGGGTGGGGAATTATGAGGAAACCCTACTGTTTTCTATAGACCCCGACGATGATAACTTTAACTTAACTCTACACTACTCTACACAAGAACTGAGAAATCTTCCAGGTTGGGCCCTGGCTTCACCGCCCTCTACATTTCCTTTGATGCCAACAACGTCTTGAATGGTCAGGTCTGCCTGCCTCACTTGAGTCTCTGAAAAACTGCAAGCCAGCCCTGTTCGTGAAAGGCAGATGCCCAGACATATGCGAACAGTGTTGCTGCAAGCATGTTGCATCCAACCATGCGCAACAGGCAGTATGCGAACGAGTCCAGGACGTGCGCATACTGATGTTGTGCCTTATGCGTGCCGTCTACTCGACCTGTCGCTCTTGCTGAGCACAAATCACAGAGAAATGATCAGTCAGTATGTCCGTGCGTGCGAGTGTTCGCCAAGTCTTGAATGCAAACCATGACCGCACAGCAATGAGACCCTAAACCCTAAACCCCCAAACCCTAAACCCTAAACCCCTAAACCCTAAACCCTAAACCCTAAACCCTAAACCCTAAACCCTAAACCGGTTCCACAGGTTCCAGGTTCCAACCCAAGGCGAATCACCGGAAGCTGCGGGGCGACAAGACACAAGCACGTAGCAAGGGATGTGCTTCCAGAAAAACAAGCATGTCGATGCGCATCACGGCATCGTGAACCCTAAGGACCAAATTGATCAAATGCCCTGAACTGTCAGGACCTTGTACCTTCTACCATTCATTGCATGCATCCCTGTATGGTACATTTGATTCAGTTCGTGATCAAGGAACTGACATTTCGCCAGGTCACGCTGGGGACTTTCCTGGCGACGATCAGCCGCCAGCTCGAAATACCCCTACACCCTACCCTAAGCCGGAATAACCTACCTTTTCAAGGACTTATATGAGGAAATCATAATAGGCAACCCCAAAAAGGTAGGTTATTCAGGGTTAAGGTAAACCCCAATGTTTCCCGCCAGTGGAAGATCTTTAGCGCGAAGGGAGGCCAGGAGGATCCCAAAAGTAGATCCCTTGTGCAGGCTTCCTATAAAGTGCCCTTAAGTAGCGTAGGGTCCCAAATTAGGGGATCTACTTGGAGGATCATAGGAGATAGTCAATGAGGTTATGAGCACCTCAATTGGATTTATATTTCGTTATAACTATAGTCACCTCATATATATATATATATACATATATATATATAGCCATAGTTACGATGTCCCATGATCCTCGAAGGAACTGTTGGGTCATCTTGGGGGCTTCGGGGAAGTTCGAATGGAGCGCGAGATCCTAAGACTGGGAACTTCGGATGTAGCAGATATCTTGGTTGCTGTCCCAAAGGGTCCAAGTAATGGTATAGTATATACTTTTGGAGCCAAAATACCTACTATAATGGTACTTGGACCCTTTGGGTGTTAAGGACCTCTGAATTACGTTCTCTATGAAAAGGAAGCCGTATCATTTAGGAGACGAATCACGATTATGTTAACTTGAGATCCTTAACAGCAACCCAGATATGTCCAGGCCCAAACTCCCGCAAAGGTCGTGCCTGCACTCCAAAAAGCTATGGACACTAAGCACCGAATCACTAAGCCTCTAAGCCCATGAACTTTTGAACTCCTAGGCCTACACACTCCCAATTCCTCAGTTAGTAGTCTTGAATTACTTCAAAACTCTTCACAAAGGCATTTTGGGAAGCATCAGCGGCCAGTTTGCGAGGGCTTATGGTGCTACCTGAGCTGCAGTTGAAGACAATGGCAGGGGTTTAGGGTGTGGAGTTCAGGGTTTAGGATTTGGGGTTCAAGGCTTTGAGTTTTACGGTCTGAGGAGAAGGGTTTAGGATGTAGGGCTTAGGGGTTTCGGCTTTATGGATTCTAAGCTGGATCTGCGTCGAAGCATTGGATAAAACCGCACAGGTGCCACCACAAACACCGTAATTCATGAATAGCCTTTCCAGTATACTAGAAACCACTAGAAGCTTGATGGAGGGTGTATCATGTATTTGGTGCAGGACTGTTGGCGTGATTGTGTCACTCTAACCCTCTACCGAAGCCACCTTGTTGTTTAGTATTAGTTCAGAGTTTAGTAGGATCCAAAATCGGACGCGAACTATACTTCGTGTTTGGGGGGTGTTTAAATCGACCGCCATAGGCCGCTCGAAGCGCGCCTCAACCCGTAACACCAAATCCCGAAAGCTGAACACTACACCCTCACCGCTTAGTCCCTACACTGACACCGACAGGCCTCAACCCAAACCCCTACACCCCAAACCCGCAACCCTAAACCTACTATTTGCTTAAGAGCCCCCCAAAAAATATAAAATATATTCCTTATGGGGGGTAATATAGGGATTATTATTTTTATTTTTTGGTGGTTTCTTAAGCAAATAGTAGAAACCTGAAGTTCCAACCCCTAAACCCTAACCCTATGCAATGCCCTAAGCCCTAAACTCCAACCCCTGAGCCCCAAAGCCCTAAACCCCAAACCCTGAAGCCAACCAGAGAGCCCCAGAGAGCCCCTTGATTAAGGAATATATAGCTTAAATGATAACTGAAGCCCCCTATGATTCAAGGTATTCTTGCTTAGTTAAGGGGTCTTGGGCTCTCTGGGCTAAACCCTAAACCCTTCCTAGATCAGGTTATCCTCGACATCCTGGAGCTGGCGGCTCCAGTGCAGAAGTTGACCGGCTTCTACAACAAGCCCACGGAGCGACGCCCCAGTGCTGGGAGGTTTCGGTTTGGGGTTTAGGGTTTGGGGTTTAGGCTTCAGGGTTTAGGATTTGGGGTTTAGGGTTCAGGGTTTGGGCTTTAGGGTTTGGGGTTTAGGGTTTAAGGTTAGGGTTTGGGGCTTTGGGTTCAGGGTTTGGGTTTTGGGTTTAGGGTTCAAGGTTTGGGTTTAGGATGTAGGGTTTAGCGTTCAGGGCAACAAGCCTACGGAGTGCGCCGCAGTGCAAGGGGGGTTTTGAGGCTTGGGGCTTAGGGCAGGGGCATGTTTTTTACAAATTGGATCCGGGGTTTGTAGGGGTATGTGTTTGCGGGTTTGCATAGAGGTGCATTAGGTTTTGGGTTTCGGGTATATACGGCGTAAAGGAACCATCTGGTCTACCAGGTCTATGATCTGCATGGGGCTTCAAACATCCATGAAGAACCAGCGAGCAGATCCAATATTCCGACCCTAACCCTAGCCCTAAACCCTAAGGGTTACGGCCCGTTACGGCAAGCAGTTCTAAGCCAGTCAATAACGACTGCGCCCTGAATCTGACAACCTTCATGCCCCTTGGTTCTTCAATACCGAGCCTTCATATACTTAGTAGCTGAGTAGGTAACCTTTAACCTTTTGGCGTTCATATAACTTTTAGCGAATTGACAAGGTTAGCCTTTTTTGGGCTACTCGGCCTCTAAGTATAGGCTTCTGGTTCTTACACTTCGGTGTTGTGGTGAAAACATTGCGTTCCTCGCGTATTGTAGGAGCAAGACTCTGAAAGCACTGGGCCCGGAAGAGCCATGTCAAGTAGAAGCCTGAACCACGGCCCTAGGCCTTTGTAGAACCCTCAGAAGAAACTTCTGGACCACTCTTGGACTTGATTTTTTGACCCGTAAAAGACAACCTGACGGAAAACTTCTATTTCTCTTCTAGAGCCCTGTTGATGTTAACATTCAGAACTCAGAGGATCCCAACCCTACCTTGACCCTGAATAACCTACCCTTTTTAGGGTTCCTTATTATGATGTCCTTATATAAGTCCTTTAAAGCGTAGGTTATTCCGGCTTAAGGTAAACCCTACACACCTCAATGCGTAGTAGCCTCTGGTTACCCTCCTGGCCTCCTGGCCTTGTGCATTGATCGGGCAGACGGACAAAGAAGTTTGAAAGAAACTCAGATCACCTAAAAACAAGCTTAAAAAACTTAGAGGAGTTAAAAAGAAGCTTAAAACAACTCAGAGGACCTAAAAACGAAGCTTAAAACACTTAGAGGACTTAAAAAGAAGCTTAAAGCAACTCAGACCGAAAGCGAAGTTGCAAAAAGCCCAGAGGACCTGATGACCTGGAAGGGTGTAAACCGGCAGCGGCGCGAGAACACGCCACTCGCGAATGCAATCCGGACCCTAAACCCTAAACACTAAACCGGTTTAGGGTTTAGGGTTTAGGGGTTTAGGGTTTCGGGTTTAGGGTGCTTCCTTTTTAAAGGTCTCGTGGGGTTGAGGCAGAGTTTGGGTTTCAGGGCATATTCAGAGTTCAGATTTCAGGGTTTAGGTTTTAGGGTGGTGCTAGAATCTCTTTCATATAGAAGCCTGCAAGCATACCAACATTATTACTTCGTGTTCTTTGACAATCGAGACCCCTGTACTAGCACCGATGGTTTGCTTTGGAGTTGCTGCTCCTGAACCCTGGACCCTAAACCCTGAACCCCTGTCGCTGCTTCTTGTAATTTTTCGGAGATTAGATTCAGGGCTTTTTGGGTAGGGTAGAGTCGTTTACCGGCGCTTGTAGATGATGTCGACTCTTCCGCAACCCCTGAACCCTAAACCCTATCCGCAACCCAGGAAAGCAGCTCGCAAAGCCCTCCTGGAGAAGGAGGCTCTTTGGGGCTCCGCGGGTCCCTGCACGGGGGGCCTGTAGAGGAATGAAACGCTAGTTAGTCTTTTGAGGGGCTTCAGTTAGCCAGGTAGCCGGCTTCCTTTCATCGGCTTCTATAAAGTGTTCATTCGGGGTGCATTTGGATGATTTAGGGTGCCTTGCAGGGTCGCTGGCGGAGAAAACGGTTCTATGCGAATACGGTTCTACCAGGTTTATGTAGGTTGCTCATGGGAGCTTAAATCTAGATAGGGTGAGTCTGACTTAGAGCTTATTGATGTTTCGACTCATCAACTGTCCTACAGGCGGCGGGTGGACCTCCAGTGCTGTACAAGACCGACCTCATTGAAATGAGGCAGCTTGGCAGATTCCCAACCTTCAACCCCAAATCCTAAACCCAAAGCCCCAAACCCGAAGCCCCAAAACCCTAAACCCTAAACCCCTAAACCCTCAACCCCAAAACCCTTACTATAGATCCCTTAAAGGAACCCCTGTAGATCCCTTTAAAGAAGCCCTTAAAACACCCCAAAACCCTAAACCCTAAACCCCTAAACCTTAAACCCTAAAACCCAAAGCCCCAAACCCGAAGCCCCAAAACCCAAAACCCAGACCCTAAGCCCCAAAACCCAAGACTCCGAAGCCCTTCCAAGCTAGGACCCTAAACCCTAAACCGGTTTAGAGTTTAGGGTTTAGGGTTTAGGGGTTTAGGGTTTAGAGTTTAGGGTTTAGGGTTTAGAGTTTAGGGTTTAGGGGTTTAGGGGTTTAGGGTTTAGGGTTTATGAACCCTTCAGTTTAAGAACAGCCTTGAAGCGTCCAGAATCCTGGGCGGTTTCTGACCAAATCGGATTCCCTAGCTTGGATTTAAATTTCCCGGGTCCAGGGTCTGGGGTATACCCTAAACGCCAAGCCCTAAACCCTGAACCGAAGGTTTAAAAAGCTCTCAACCGTATAGGGTACTTATGGACATAACATCGCCATGCGACTATCAAGGCTGGAGGGCGTGTGCTATGCAAACCCAGCCTCCTGGCAGCAAGACGTCTTCTCAATGAGTTCGTCGATTGTGCTTTAGCTATAGTCTCCATTGTAGTTCCTTTTTTTGGTTTAACCGAATATATAATTAGGATCCTATAAGGTAACCACAAAAAGGAACTACAATGGAGACTATAGGTAAGCCCTAAACAACGGTGTAGACTGTCCTCCATTGCATTCACTTCTCAATGTCCCCATCTCGGCAATGTCAGCTGCGATACGCATAGCCGACACAGAAGGCCCCCAAGTCTTATCCACACGCTCGACGAAAATCAGAGAGCTGAGAAGGGCCTTCTAGTATGAAAGCCCGTGCGTAACGGCATTCTTGTACTGGAAAGAACAGTTGGGCTTGCAGAGTCCAAACTCAAACATAGGCAGTTCGCGCCGAACACAATATAATTTCGGGTATATCGCTTAATTACGGGGTATTGGGCTCTCTGGGTTCTTGGTCACAGGCATCTCCCGTCGTGGGCACCGTCAGAGCACACAGCATACGCACACACGTAAGACCGTGATTGTAGCCCGAAGCCTAAGCCCCACCTTAAAGCAAGCTGCAAAGTCCTGCTAAGTGCCACACCAACTAAGGCAAAGACGCTCTTCAGCAAAGTTGACGCCGCTCCGCCGCCGTTGAGGCTTTTACTTTCCTTCGATAACCAAGTCCGAGTCCAATACGCCCAACTTCCTACTTGGGACCATTTGGGAAAAAGGCTGAGGGCTGAAACTATGATTGTTATCATTATCATCGTTGGAACCGTTGTAACTGCTACTACCCCTACTGTTGTGAATTACTACTATCATTATCATGTTTATCCATAACATTGCTATGTTTGTCCACAACGTTCGACACCCTAAACCCTAAACTCCTAAACCCTAAACCCCTAAACCCTAAACCCCTAAACCCCTAAACCCTCAACCCTTAAACCCCTAAACCCTCAACCCTTAAACCCCTAAGCCACCCCAGCAAGGTCACCATTCCACAAGGAAAGCTCGTTGCAGTAAATGGGTCGCATGGCTCTGGAAAGGCCACCTTGATGAGGCCATGGACTGGTTTTGGGGGTCTTAGAGTTTGGGGCTTAGTACGGTTGATGATATAAATCCTGCATTACCTTAAGGATCCTAAACTATGGGAATTGTGGCACATTCCTTATTATGGGTAATGCAAGATGTATATCATCAGCCGTAGGGTGTGGGGTTACGGGTGTCAGAGGTCTGAGGGTTTAGGGCTTAGTAGGGTTTGGGACCCTTAAACCCTTAAACCCTATAAATAACCCCAGAGTTTAGGGTTTGTAGGGTTTGGGGTGAATGTAAGGGTTCTTGAGTGTGGCAGGGTTTCGGGGGATTGAGTTCGGAGCCCTCCTTTGAAGTTTTCGGATTTGGGGATTCAGGAATTACGGGTTTAGGGATTAGGGTATAGGGTTTAAAGGCTTGAACCCGTCACTCTGACTTTAGCTTCGTGCTTTTTCCGGCACTTCTGCCGGAATGTCTACAAAATGTAGAAGCCTGGAAAAGTATTTCTGGCCGTGCGCTGAGGTACTTGCACTATGATTCATGCTAACAACTTAGGCGCCGACATCAGGGTGATAAGTGTCAGGATCCTCCGACATGTGAAGCCATGTACCATCGGCGCCTGAATAATTACCGATACTATTTTGGTGGTTTCCTTATTTTATTTATAGCATAGTGGGCCCCAAAACCCTATTCTACGTATTAAGGCCCCGAAATTAAGAGACTTGGAAGAAGCGCCAGCCCGACCCCGAAGAGTCTCAAAATGACTTCCGCAAACTTGCATCTCTGTAGCGTATGATTGCCTTGAAAAGAAAGCTAGGTAGGCCTTTGGGACATTTTATATTTTCCCTTATTGGGCTTAGTAGGACCCTATTTACGAATATTTTTCAGAGGCTTTAAGGGGCCAACCTAGAAAGTGTTGGCGCTGTCTGGAGGCTGCTCGCTCACATCATCTTCCCTCAGGAGGGGATGCATTCACGGTTTAGGGTTTAGGGTTTAGGGCGCACAGGCATCATGTCTATGTTGCTTGAAGTCGTCAGATGCCAAAGCAAAGAATAGAACTTGAAAATCAGGTACGATGCAACACCCAGCCCTACTTGTAGACCGACCATGAGTCTGAGTTGTTGGGGTGGAAGGCAAGGCCCGCGGCCAATTCCTCGACACTCTTAATCCCCAAACCACAAGCCCTAAACCCCGAAAAACCCTTTCAAAGCGTAAACCCCGAACTCAGGAGCGGATTTCGGACTCAAAAAACGGACAGGTCACAACCCCCCTTTTTTTTGGGGCGCCAGGCCGAAGAGTCGAACTTGAAGCACTTATAGCAGGCCCCATGAGTATACGGGTTGCGGGCCCCCCTGATACAGACCAGCTTGCTACTATAGCGGCGCTTACAATGTACCGCTCCAGGACGGCTGCATATTCGTCCCGTCGCACCTTCGCATCTTGCATTTGGCGCAGGAGCCAATGCTCTTGAATGCCTCCTGGCAAGGTTGGCAAGTCAGGGCTTTGCAGGTGCAACCAAAAGGGGGCCCGACTTTAAGATCCACTTGTTCATGGCTTCGGTGCCCCGAGATAGCTCCAGATGGCCGCAGGAGACCAGACACGCTCATTGGCACATCATAATACGAAAATCTTAGCATGAAAGATGACGATACTGATGTCTTGGTCAGAACCCACAAGACCAGTGCCACAAAAACTCCACAGCTTCCCTGCACTGCTTGAAACTCGGATAGTGTCTGTTCACTAGCAGTTGTAACTGGGGAGAGGGTCCTGAAGGATTTATCGCTGATGTAAACCTTACACGCTTCCACTCTAGCAGCCCTCAGCCCGCAACCCCATGAAATCCTAAACCCGACAAAACTCCGTCCCCTAAACCCCGTAGATCCCTTTCAGGAATCCTCATTAAGGGAACCCTGTAAGGAACCTTACTTACTAGAGCCTTTTCCACTAAACCTCTTTGAGGCTTCTGCCTGGGTGAACCTGGTCTTCGGGGTCGGAGACCGGCCCGTCGTCCCAAAGCGGATCCGCACCTTCGTCATAGTTTAACAACCTATTGAGACAAAGATCGACACACATACACACTGGTTTATATATATATATATATATATATAACGATAGATAGATAGATAGACAACAATAGCTAGATATGTATATCTCTATCCGGGTTCTTCTACATGTATGTATCTATATACACATATTTACATGTATGTTTCGATCCATGTATGAACAGACCTCAAGCTCCCTGGCAGTGCTCTTTTGCTCGGAGCCCTTGTTCGCACTGGGACACTCGGGAACCCAGGCACAATCCTGGAGATGATGGGGATGCAGGCCACCCTGAAGCTGATCGAGGAGGACCTCCAAGCTAGCTGTGGCGGGGCATCGAGCGCTTACAGGGCTTAGGAATGAAGTAAAGTTCAGAAATGTTCAAGGCCCAGGGTTTGGCAGTAGTAGTAGTAGTAGTAGTAGTAGTAGTAGTAGTAGTAGTAGTAGTAGTAGTAGTAGTAGTAGTAGTGGTAGTAGTAGTAGTAGTAGTAGTAGTAGTAGTAGTAGTAGTAGTAGTAGTAGTAGTAGTTTAGTAGTAGTAGTAGTAGTAGTAGTAGTAGTAGTAGTAGTAGTAGTAGTAGTAGTAGTAGTAGTAGTAGTAGTAGTAGTAGTAGTAGTAGTAGTAGTAGTAGTAGTAGTAGTAGTAGCAGTAGCAGTAGTAGTAGTAGTAGTAGTAGCAGTAGTAGCAGTAGTAGCAGTAGTAGTAGTAGTAGTAGTATATAGTAGTAGTAGTAGTCGTCGTAGTAGTAGTAGTCGTCGTCGTAGTAGTAGTAGCAGCAGTAGTAATAGTTGTTGTTGTCGTCGTAATAGTAGTATTTAGTAGTAGCAACAGCCGTTGCGACGCTGACAGTAAGCATGCCATGAAAGCCCAGTCCGAAGCTTTCCTAAACCCTGGTCCGGAAGGACCTGGACCGTGTGGCTCGCGAGGGACGCCGGGCGGCGGGAGATACCTGGAATCGGCCGTGCCTGGGATGGAAAGATTGAGTTTTCAACAGTTGAATATGAAGGATCAAGGCTTTATAGGGTTTAAAGGGTAAACAGTTCTGACTGCTTAAACAAGCTGGTGTGCGAATTCGTGCGGCGCACACATAGCACATGCTGCACCTTTGCTGTTGGACTTGTGCTCGACGTCGCGATCACAGGATTGGTCTTGTCTCGTTCCTGTGAAGACTTCTGTGGGCGCTGGCGTAAGCGTTAGCTCGCCCCAGCCGCTGATTGCTGCCTGGACACCCGACCGGCCATGCAAACGCAAGGCCGGACAACAAGTGGATGGACGGCATCACTTACACAGAAAAGGTGAAGCAACTTGGCCGCACGTTGAGGGCTGCCTTTTGCATCCACGAGCTCGACGAAAAGCCAGGTTCATGAAAAGGCAAAGGTCTCAAGCTCGAGCTTCCGCGGGGGCGAGAGTTGCCGCGAGTTGCTGTAGCTGCTCAGCTTCATTCGTGGATAAGGCATTGCGAACATCGTTTCGATTGAGTCTAGTAGTGTCAGCCTTCAGCCCAAGATATTAAATAGCCTAAAGCCCTACATCCTACAGGTTGGCTGACCAAGCCGCCTTCTTCCGCAACGAACCTCCGCCACAAGATGCCAAGGATCAATCTTGCGCGCGCCATGATCATGTACCTTGGCTTAGGCTGTAGGGCACACCCCAGGGGGTTTCTGGGGCTTTCAGAGGTTGCATGCTCGATTTATCGGATCCTGACTTCAGGCATAGGATTTGCGATGTTGGGTGTGTTGCCCCTAAACCCTAAACCCTAAACCTTGCCTTTTTGGCGGCTTGGGAAGGGTTTTGGGCCTTGGGAGTTGTGGTTCAGTGACCCGGCCGTCCATCTTGAACCCCTGGCCACCTTGCATTTGTAGAAATTTCATAAAGACAGACAAGTAAAATAATAGATTAAGAAGCAAACAGTGATTATCACAGACATCGATAGATGTATGTATCTATGTGCATATCATGTACATACATATACATTAGAACACCCCAAGATATCCTTGCATGCTGGAGTATGCTGCTCCTGGCGCTGTGTCTCTTTTTTGATGCGCCATACGTTACTTTGAATACTCACTTAGTAGTTGAGTGGATACACTTTACACTTTTTGGGTAATATTACCCAGTAGAAAACTGAAGGTGTACACTTTTGGGGGCTTATGAACTCAGCAACTAAGCTCAGGCTCCATCACAAATCGACCCTGGGGTCCATTCCTCAGTACTCACAGACTAGGGTTTAGGGTTCCAGGGTTATAGGGTTTCCGGGTTTAGGGTTCCAGGGTTTAGGGTTTAGGGTTTTAGGGTTTAGTGTTTTTCAGTACTGAGCTTTCGATGGAGACTTTCAGCAGCAGCATATGAGCTGCAGCCGTTACGCCACTGCCGCCGCCACCACCACCCACCACCCACCACCACCACCACCGCCGCCGCCACCACCACCACCACCACCACCACCACCACCACCACCACCACCACCACCACAAGCCCAGCAACCGCAACAACAAACCATGCCATAGAAGCTATGATCGCAGCATTAGTAATGCCCACAGCCTGTGGCAGCAGAAATTTGAATCTTCAACCACACCCGCGGCAAGGAACCCGGAAGTCATGGTCGCCCAGCGGCCGCTTCACCACTACGATGCCAAAACTGCCGTCCAGATGACGAAGCTGTTGCGAGTCACCTGGCATGAATACGGGGGCCTTAACAATTACCAGTATTATCTTGGGAGGGTTTTGGATCGAGCCTTTCAGGCATTGCTAGAACCCCAGTGGAAATTTTCCACGCACTCGCCGTGGCCATACCGCGCTCCAGCCCGACGTGGCATCGTCGAGAGCGTCGACATCGACAAAAGGCCAGGCAGAGGATCTGGTTTCAACGGCGGCAAGGAAAGCTGCCTTGGAAACGCGACCTACGCCTCCTTTCGGGGCACCACACTGCTCCGCAGTACAAGGAACAAGAGCGTATGGGACGCAACCAGCAGCCCAAAAAATGGGGACAAGACGAGACCTATCGTGGCCAAGGTGGCTCAAAGCCGTCCTGGTCGCCATCGTGGGAAGTGTGGCGTGGAGCCAAAGCCACAGCCAAACCCTCCAACAGCTACGACGAAGTGGTTGTCCAAGGATGGAAACCAACGACTTCCACTCAGGACCAGGCTGTCACGGAGCAGTTGGCACCCAATGGTGGCAACACAGACAAGATGAGAGCCATACAAAAGGCGCTTACCCAAGCGCGGAAAGCGGAGGCTCGCGCAAGAAAGGTCAAGGAAGACCAACAATACCGCGAACAGCAGTGGGATTTGTGGACGAAGAAGCACAAGGCCGACTTCGTGAAACAGCGACGCAGGTTCGATGCCGACTCTGCCAAGGCGAAGGAGGACCTAGCAGCCGCCACGCTTGCGGGACAACAGGCGGCCATGCTGGTACAGATGATCGTCAATGGCAAGCCAGTGCCAGAGCCAAGCTTCGACGAAGAATCGGCAGAATGGGAAGCCCTCATTCGCCAGGACCCACAACAGCCACACCACGAGAGCTTCATGCAGGAGGCTATGGATGCAGCAATGGGTGCGGGATTTACATTCCCGCACACAGGCTCCCAGGAGCACAGTGTCCCGGATGGGACACACAGCACTGGACCACCACGACAATTGCGACCAGAGATCCTTCAACAGCTCCTACAGTATGCGGGCTTGCAGCATGCAGGTTTCATGGCGGCACCCGGGCTGTTGCCACCTCCCACGGCGTTCCCACCACAAGGGGAGCCACGCCCCGGCACGTCTCAACCGGAAGCCACCTATGCAGCGCCTACCATGGAAGCCACCGATGGTGCACCAGCACCTTTCCAAGCTGCATCTCCCAGCACGTTACGGCCCGACAACCATACGACCGACTACATGATGGGAGATGCCAAGACAGCCGGCACAACCAAAGATGTGCGGACTTCGCCACACCATCCAGGACAGCGAGATCTACAGCAAGCTCGAGTGCCTACATCACAAGCACCTCCGCGAACAGGGATCAAAGAGGCATCTGTTGCAGCCACTGCGCCACAACACCACTCTACAGGTGCTACCTTGGCTGCCAAGCTCGAACATGCTCGCGAACAGCTGCTCGCCGAACAGGCCAACCAAGCAGCTCAACCGGCTATGGCTCCATTGTTCCTAGTTCCCACGGTGATTGCCGACGACGATGGCGATCAGGAACAAGAGCCAGCGCCAGATCTTCACAAGCTTTCCTAGCCATTGGTGTAGGGTTCCAGACCTGCCAAGCAGTGTCACAGCAGGTTGACAGCCTGGAAGTCCCACAGAGGAGCGGACTGACCTTTTCAGTCCCCTCTTCGACGTTGACTCTCGGGCAATGTCATCCTCCTGTCACACCATTGGCGGTTGACTGCGAATCCTACTTTCCATGTCCAGCACATCTGAGGAGCCCTGTACAGTCTTTCATCTGTTGTACAGTGACTAAGAAGGCCGACGATCTTCATCCTCCAAGTCCAGTCAGCAACGTTCCCACTGCTCGACTTCTTTCGCCAAGCTTGTCTGATTGCCAGCTCCCTTGGGCTTTGGGTTGCAGGTACTCAGACTTGTTAGTCTCCTCTGTCCGACTGCACATGCATTGGGCTTTTGCATGTTGTAGCAGGACCCCGCCATTCTGGGCATTTCCGACTTTATGCCCACCTTACCAGCCTTCTTGCAACTGCGTGCCGAAAAGTCAGATCGGTGGCTCTGGGCTGACTACCAGTTGCTTTTTGGCCAATCCGTGTACCCGGACCACGGGAACGTCTAGCCGAGAGCCTTTGAATCTTCTTCTCGTGCTCCAATACCTTGCAGCCAGCCTCCTTCCCATAGTTCGGGTTTACTTTGGGTTGTTAGGCACTGCCCTCCTAGGACTGCTTGCCCAGGCACTTCCCTCGCGTCCCACTAAGGCCCGCAAATCTTCACTGCATGCTGCGACACAGCAGTACCGAGCAATGGTCTGTGTGCTTGGCGCTGTGGCACGCCCTGGCAATCCTGCCACCATACCCTTGCGCAGGTTCACGGCAAGACAATGTCGAGCTACCACGTCACAGAGCCGCAGGCATATTGCTGCTCAGCCAGGTAACAGGAAAGGCAGGTTTTGCCTCTTTCTGCTGTCTCTGCTCCAAACACCTGTCTGTATATGGGCAGCACCACCCAGCCTGCCCGACTTCATACAACACGTTCATCAGGTTTCCAGCAGCATGCCAGATACCTATGATTCCGCGAGGCCTCACATACGACCACCTGCTCCGAATGAGCCGACAACCGACATTTCGACACACACTCTCGCATGTCAGGTCTTTGTTTTTGCGAGGCGATCAAGGCGAGTTAATTTGGAAATCCGTGGCACAGCTCAGACAAGGAATACCGTCGACCGGTTGCACGACTTGCTACCTGATCCACAACTGCGACAAAGACACCGTCTTGTGCCCACCACGCCCCAACTCGCGCAGTCCGCAGCTACTGCAGTACTTGTACCTGACTGGGCAGACCAAGCCGGTCGCTGTGTTGTCATCTACGACTTTTCCTTTTTTGAAGGACCGGTCTATGCAGGCCTGTGTCATCACACCGAACCGCGATACGATATTGCGGATGAGGCCAGGCATCAAGGCTTACAGGACTGGAACGCCCTGCACTTGCCTACCGGACAGCCGCTTAGTAGTGACACCAAACTCCAGCATGGCGACGTCCTCAGGTTTGCGACTGCACATGCCGAGCCGCCGGTGCTCCGAAGCTTTGAGGACCTACTTGACACGCCCGAGCTATGGGATCCACAACCCTTTTTCATGGCACAAGAAAGACCGCCAGCTTCCTGGTTGGTCTTGCAACCGAACCACAGCCACTTGATTCAGGGTAACCATAGCATACCAGTTCTCCTTAACAGAATTGCCGACTCCATGTACAGCGAACCAGCTTACGTGCACTTTAGTGACCCACTCCCGGATACCTTCGTTGAAGACTACGTGCACCATGGATGGGTTCCTCATGGTATCATTGCAGCCGCACACCGGTCAGAACACGTGTTGCCGGGGCCCAATCTCGGCGTCTTCCTTTTCCTGGATTGCCGGTTACTAGGGCAGGGATTATGTTTTGCCTTTGAGTCGCCCGGCCTACACCAGACCTCGGATTACATGAACCTCATCCCTTCTCGTCCTCCTGCCGGCTACCAACACGCGTGCATTGGACTTGCGAGTCCATCCAGCCTCTGTAGTGTTCAGGAGGGCACCATCCTTCAGGTTGCAAACGTGCCTTCCACCAACCAGGAAGCAGAATGCACAGCACATTCACCAGCCTCCGATTGTGCTACACCGCTACCCAGTGCGCAGGCACAGCTTCCAGGTCTAGCCGAACCTCTAGACCGAGACACCGACGCAGACACCACAAGCACCACCACCATCCGGGGTCGGTTTTTGGTTCTACGTCTTAACTGCGAGTCTCTCACAGTGACTTTTGACATTTCTGCACCAGCCACTGTTGCAGACACCATGGAAGCAGTCTCCATGGCCCTGCCCAATCATGTGTACTGGCGTTGGCCGCAGGTCCAGCCCGTCGAGCCACAGGTTTCAGGACAATGGGGCCTTGCAATAGCCCTCCCATCATGGGCCTGCCAGGAGCCCATTATAGTGTTAAACCTCCTTCGGGTTGACGGTAGGCTTTTCCCAGCCACAGCAGCCTTCCGTTACACTAAGGATAGCCTGTGCGAGCTAGCTGGAGTACAACCCGAACAAGTTGAGGTTTACGCTTTTGGCAGTGCGTACCAGCTTGATTCCGACAGCCTTGTCGACATTCAGCCTTACGGAATGGTGTTTTTCGTGCCAGTCGGCCACGGTCCGTCCGTTGGCCACAATCTTGCCCCCATGCTGGTTACACCCTACTGCTGGTTCAACGAGACACTGCCTGCACCAGTTGGCGGCCCCGAGAGTCGTCATTTCTGTCTTGTCACTCAAGACTGGCATAGCCTTTGCACACTTGCGCCTACAGATGAGACACCTCAAAGCCAAGCTGCCGGACGCTTAGGTTGGGATTCCTCGACCACTAGATTGCAGTACACTGTACCACTTGTAGCAGACATGACCGTCCGAGGTTATCTTTGTCGTGGTGTCGTGGCTGCAACTCTTGCAGCCCACGATACCGAGCCATACCAGATTGCCTTTGTGGACTGCAGACCACTTCTGCAAGGTTGGCATTTGCTTCGATGCGTCAATAACCAATTTTCGCATTCAGAGCTCGCTGTCACCCTCGAAACCTTCGCACCTGCAGGGCACCTCGTGCAGATAGAGGGTGCAGCTTTGGAAGGAGAGTTTCTGCAACTTTCGCCAGGCCAGGTTCTACAGGCACACTTTGTGCCTGCTACGCCTTTTTCAAATCTGGAGGACCCTGAGTCCTCTGAGGGACCCCAGGATGGTCCACCGAGTCCAGATACAGACAGTGACCCCACAGATCATACTGACCAAGACACGACCACTGCACCTGCCGACTCAGATGGAGAACACCTCTTCCCTGACGATCCCATCTTCGAGTCTCGTTCACAGCACACTCGCAGCCGATCGCCCAGGAGACATGCCAGTCAGCTGACAACGACTTCGACTCCCAGGCCCCAACCGCCTACCACAGGTCTCTTCGCTGTCACTTTAGCGACCACCATTGGCAGCTCCACGGGCCTGTCCAGCCTGGCCTGTGCTGCAAGCCCTTGTGCTCAGTACGACACCTGGTGCTACGTGCTTCTGCTCTGCCTGGTCCTCACAGGCATTGTTTTGTTGTGGCACCAGTCCATCGGTCACTGGACACCTGTCCTCCTTTTCTGCCGACCGCCGCAGAAAAACATGAAGCTCCATCAGGAGCCACATTGTGATACTCCAGCACAAAGACAGCAAATTGCGTCCCTACGCCACGCTGCCCTCACACTAGACGGACACTGGCCGTTCTCCGGCAATCAGGCCCAACAACCCGGCCATGCTTCCGAGTCCTCGTCCGCGGCAGGGGCCTCCGACACCGAAAGTATTGCTTGGGCAAACGTTTTGATCTATGCCGCAGACTATGTTCCAGAGCTACTGACAGTGGCCTTCCGCTTCCCGTCAACGCTCGATGAAGGCGAGCAAATGATCCAGGCAGAACGTGAGCCGAGTCAAGCACGTCGATTTCCGCACATTCTGCCAGCCTTTCCCCAAACTCTTTCGGGAGCAGGGGTTTACGTTGCCTGTCCGCACTGGAAGCCAAACCTCAACCTCCTCTTTGTTGATGCGTTAGGATGGGACGGACGACATTTTGCTGTCGTCATGCCCGCATATGTCACCAGGCACACAATCCTGCATATCCTTGGGATCGCAGACGACAGTCACGCAGCAGTCTTCGTCGGTGACCAGGTCGAGCCCCTCGACACACACCCAGTCCACACCAGACCAGGCCTTACTATCGTTATAGTTCCGGTTGGCCGACTCCCAGACCTCAGTCTCAATGTCGCTACTATGATGCAACGCCCCAGTTTGTGGGCACAGGACTACGATGTCCCTCCTGCACCACAGACCGCCTATCTGGTAGTTGAAGGAGACCAACAGGTACTTTTCACCTATCGCACGGCACATCCCACACGTTACAGGTCAGATCTTGCCGCTGCGCTAGGAATCCCCAATCAACACTTGGCCCTAGTACCCGCGCAACCGCGCGTGACAGATGCCTCCCTGCAAGGAGTCCCTTGTCGCACAGTCATTGCTGCAGCCCGCGTCCATCCGACACAACACTCTGACAGAGACGTTTGGGTACTTGTTGACTGTCGGCCTCTTCTAGAAGGTTGGCGTCGTTTCTTGGCACCGAGAGGAGTGATTCACGTCCCGGACCTCATTGCCGTCATTCAGACGGTAGTTCCGGCAGGACAGCAACTCTCCCTACCTGATATACCCTTAGGTGAGGTTTTCTATCAGGTTCTTTCGGGTCAGGTTCTCACTGCCGAATTAGAACTAATCCTGCAGCGCCCCCATGCCGTTCCGCCTGATACTACGCAGCCTGGACATGCCACATCTGAAGCTGTCCCGGAGGCTACGACGACCTCTCAGTCCACAACAATGCAGCCTGCCCCTGCAAGCAGCAGTGCAGCCTATGATCCACCACAGCCGGATCTGCCAGCACAATCCTCCGCTCCAACAGCCACCACGACCCAGCGCAACCGTGCCTTTGCGGAAGTTCCCTTCTTGGTTCTGGTGCCGGAGTACTTGCCTGAATTGGTC